CAGACATTAACAGCTTAACCCTTTGTTGACCACAAAAATATAAGCCTTGATTAATGAAAAATAATGTATCTAAAATTAAAATATCATGCAGGGGTATAAAATACATGAATTAAAAAATATAATAAATAAATAATGAATATTTATTTAGTTTTAAAAAGTAAGTTCAAAATAAAACTTTTAGCCACATTTTAAGAATTAATTAGTTATATATAAATATATATTAAATGTATTACCATTTTTGCATTATAAAAAATATAGAATAGTAAACACGTTTATGAAATGAAAATTTAAACAAAACATGGAAAATATTTTCATAAAATCAATTGAATAATTTAAGTAAACAATTATAAAACATTTTTGAAATCAATAAATTTCTGCGAGTTAAATATTAAATGTCTCTCTATGGATGAACATTTCCTGGACCAATCTGAATATTTCCCTTTGCATTATTACAAATGTGAGTCTTGATTGAGACCTGTCTGTGACAATTTTGCGGTTATAATAATTAGTAATTTCTCACGATTTTTAAGGGGGTTAAAAAACCCCACAGTAAAATATGTGGAAGTAGCACAGAGAGTTAAAAGGAATTTTTGCATTTCGCAAAGTTTCGGCGCTCACTAAAAACTCAAAAATCTCAGCGACCTGTAAACCTGGTTTTCGTTTTCCTTTTCATTTTCATTTTTCATTTCCATTTCGACTTCCATTCAATGCAATGCGAAAAACAGCAAGTGGAGTGAGTGCAAAAAATAAAAAACAGAGCTGAAAAAACGAACTCAACGCCCTAACATGGGCTTGTCAGCGCAACCGCTTTGTACTTGAGCGGATCATCATCATCATCATCATCATCAACATCATCATCATCATCATCATCATCATCATCAACATCATCATCAGCTCCGACAAGGTGGTGTGCCTACGATCTGGGATCTGGGACTGTTAGTGTTTATGAGGCGGAGGCACCACATGTGGCAACTTCATTTCCATAGCAGACACACTTGTTGCTATGTATATCTCCGCATCTTTGTATCTGTCTCTGTAATTTGCATTAAGTGGCTGATTTTCCTTTGCCTGATTTCGTTTTCATTTTAATTTGTGCCTCGTTGTAGTAGTTTTTCTGTAGTTTTTTGTAGTTTTTCTTTTCGGGGCGGTTTCGGGCTGCGGCAACAGGGCGTATGCGAAACAATGCCCATTAATCACCGCCAGCTGCTGTAATGCAAAACTTTAATTATCGTTACCATTTCAGCTGACGAAATCTCCGCTTCTTTCTTCTGTATTTCTTTAATTTTTTGGTCTATTTAATTTATTGTACAACTGTCGGGAGAGAGAGAGAGAGAGAGAGAGAGAGAGAGCTGAGATGAAATCTGGGCGCGAAAAATAAATATATGACTACTTTCCAACTGTCATCAACTGTCGCATGTTGCATGCCACCGTTTTGATGATAGGAAAACCAAGGAAAAAGTCAGCTAATAAGTGGGGGAAAAATGGTAATAAACTGAAGACGACACGCGGATTAGATGGCCTTGGCAGGGGTCTTCGGGTTTTCGGACATTTGCCTCCCCATCTCAGCCCCCCAAAACGTGATTTGTTAAGAATTAAATCGAAACCACGTACGATCGGTGGTCAGTCGTCGTTGGTCGTGGCCGGTTGCTTGGAATCGTGTTTAATCAGTAAAGAAAGAAAAGTCCCCATATCAGAGAGCAGAAATATGTATAATATATAAATAGTATATATATTTTAAGTTAAACTGCAAATGGGAAAGAAAGTAAATATGGCTGGCTTACTAAGAGTATTCAATCAGTTTGCATGATGAATAAATTTATCAAAAGTTTTTACATGAATTCTTTGTAAATAAAATTATTTTGTCGAAGTAAAATGAACACCCATCTTCATCTTCACTAATTCTTACACTTTAATATTCCAATGAACTCCTCCACTCACTATTGTATAAGTTGCTACACTACAGTAATGTACAATAAAAAATTCATCGCAAAAAAAAAAAAAAACAAAAAAAAAAAAACTAAGAACAATTAATAAGAAGTGATAAAAATAAGTTATATGCAGATTCATTTATTTAGTTTCGTAATCGCTTCTATTTAGTAGAAATCCACTTAGATTTATTTTAAGAAACTACATTTTTATGGTTCCAAAGATGATGATAAATTCAGCTTCAAATTTTCCCAACCTATTTTAGAAATTTGTGAATGTTGTTTACAAAATTTCCGCTTGCGGTTTCATCTTATTATAGAAATCACTTTGGGACTTCTTTCTCCCCATCTCTGCAAACCAGTTATTATCACTTATTCATGGGCAAGTGATGTCTCATCTCTCGACCAACGAACTCTCTAGGCCACATCTCACTTTGGCTTACTATTTCGTGTCTATAACCTCTTTTAAATATCGCCCACACTTATTTTAAGGTGACACCATTTAACCAGCATTGAACTATTTTTTATGTAGAATGCTTGACATGCCACGAAAAGATATTGACTGCGAGACGATTGTCTCACGACCTGCGATTATGGCCAAATGCCGAGGGAATATCAATTAGGGGAATTTCACATTGCCAAAAAATAAATAAATAAAGTTGGCAAGCAGATTCAGACCCCGAAAAGAACCTGCTGCTGATCGAACTGATCGTTCGATCGATCGATCGATGAAGCCAACATAATTTACGGTGCAGTTTTCACATTGAAAATGTCACCAAGTATGTCAGCGATGACGACAATGACGTGTTTGCTTCTCCCATTGCGTTGTTTCGCTAAACTTCAAGATATATTCATATATATTTATATATATATTATGCATTTTTTTGCAGCAATATCTGCTGATATCGGAGCTACTCGAGCGAAGTTCATTGGCTGGCACGACGAAAGCATTCGACAAGCAACTGGCCAAAGGCATCTGCACAGGGAGAAATATTCTACATTTTTATTCAAGAACATTTTATTTAAATTAATTAATTTAAATTTGTAAATAGAAAAGTAAGCATTAGGTTACTAAAAACCATTTAAACAGTACCTGAAGATAATCAAGTAAATGTTTTCGGTAAGAAGTTTCAATAATATAACAAGAATTATGTAAAGGGATTTAAACGTTAGACCATTAATATCAACGGCAATTATATATACTATACTATATGATAAGGATGGTAATCCTTTACAGTTTTAGAGCTAAACATCTCTATCTCGAAATAATACTTGAAACTTTGATCTCCTTTAAAAGTTTCTTTAAACTCAAGTGAATATTCTTTGACCAAGATTAAATTAATGTAAGAATAAAAGAGTTTTTCTTTTTCATTATTTATTACCAATCTATATAGCAACCTTTTTTGTTTTCCGTGCCCACCTGGCCACGTGAGTAAGTGGACTTTTGTGCAGCTCAGTCTACAGGTTTTGACCAGCATCAGTCTCGCTTTTGGGGCATGAGTCACGGTCTTGGCCGAGGAATGCCACAGGGAAAAGTCCCCGGCGAGAGAGACTCTGGCTAATTCCGACCTGGGTTGTCAACGGCTGTGAGCTGCACCTACCAATTATTGCAATTATGAGTATATATCAGCATCTAGTTGTATCTGCGAGATACAATTTGTTGCCCCCACGCGGCACAATTTCGTGTGGCTTGGGTGTGGGCGTGGGCTCTAATTATATGGCCAGCACTTAGGCATCCGATGATTGTTATGCAAAGAAGCTGATCTCAAGATGGTCACCGCGCTGAGATCATGTGAATGAAAATGGAAAGTGGAGCTGTAATATCTCGTCGAGCATATAATTTGCCACCGACTGCATAACTAACAGAGTTATTATGGTTATTTCTTCTGCGGCGACAAAAGCGAAACGGAAGCCATGACCAGGTCAGTCCATTGGCATTCACTTCGCTCGAATCACAACACACATTGCAGAATTACACTCATCACAATCGAGTGTGTGTGTACACAAACTTGTATTTGCCTTTTAATGAGGCCGGAAGAAATTGTTGTAATTTTAACGGTTTAGTCGCCGGACTTTTGAGTTGCAATGAAATCGAAACTGGAACTCCAGCTGGTTACCATTAAAATTGTGCCTAAGCTCTGGGTCTAAATAAATAAGGTTTAGTTGGGAAATTACCAAAGCTTGGGGGAATAATACCTGAGATTTTGACAAAGGTTGTTGTTTAAAATTATTTTTGGGAAACTCCAGAAAATGCTCTAAAACTATTTTTATATTTTAGCCTAACAAACTCTGTTCTAAATTTGTTCATTAAATTAAATCAATACATTGACTAATCAATAAGTGTTGATTTAACCTCATTGAAGTGCCAAAACAAGGAATCAATTACTCAATATCTGAGAATAAAAGCAATTCATTCAATTGAGTAAATAAAAAGTGTTATCATATGAAGAAAAAGTTTCTATCAAGCTTTAAGAAATAAAGCTTGCATTGAAGAAAGTTCTGATGAACTGAGAAATTATTTTTAAAGAAGCTATTTAAACACCATTTTGTTTTCTTAAATATCATAATTAAATGCATAACATTTCTCATCATACGGGCATTGGAAATATTATTGATTCCAAACCCGTAGAACTAAGTTTCATCACGACATTAATCAATCGTCTTTCACTTTCCAGCCCCTGCTCTCCTCAATTCCAATCTCAGGCCCAATCCCGCGGATAAACAACTTTCAAAGAGAGTAAAGCCCGACCTTTATTTGCTTTTGGCAGCTTTCTAACTGCACGGCAACCACAAAAAACCGTAAATTGGCAAAGAAGGGCGTAGAAACACACACACCCAGACACATAATTGGGGAGATCGAAAAGTGTAATAAAAATAAAGATTTTGGTGTTTGCAAAGAACAAGCTCGAGGAAGAATCATTCACACATTATTTAGGGGGATTTTTCTTTATTATTATTTTTTCCAAGAAAACTGCCGATAAGTGACCGCATTTATCAGTGGGACGCATTGTTACTCGAGTACTTGCAATTGCATTGGTCTTATCACTTTTATTGTTTCCCTTTCTCTCAACTTACATTTTGAGGCCGTTCATTGTGTATTTATTGCTGTTAAATCCGAAACCGATATCTGCATCCAAAGTGCTAGTTTTATGGTAGCTTTAAATCAATCAATATTTTTGGTATTCACACTTTTCATTTGTATGCTAATTCACTTGTTGTTCAGTTGTTATATAAGTAATGACCCGACGGCATTATCTACCACGCTTTCATATACAAATTGGCCTTCGGGGTATTATCACTTTATCTATGCTTTGTGAGTGGCGATTCCATTGTGAGAAGAAGCTGCTGGGACTTGGACTTGGTACTTGCCACACACTAAAATATTTCACTCTTCGCATTTTTCTCACTTTTCCACTTTTACTTTTGCAATTACTTTTCTCAGATTTTCCACTCAATCGCAAGTTGCAGCAGCACTGCCACAGCGATCAATCACACACATTTTGGTCTCGATAACAATTAGACGGGGAACCGCGCGCGCTAATGGAGCTCGTAAGAGTTTGATCGTTGGTCTGAGACTGTGACGACGGAGACCCAAGACTGGAGACCGGAGAATGGAGAATTGAGACCGGAGACTGATAGCGCCGGATCGGGGAGCGGGGAGCGGGGAGAGAGAGCGTGCGAGAGTGTGCGCGGTCATAACAATGGGGCTATAGTCGCTGCCGATCCGATTCCGATTCACGATCTCTGCGCTCGGGAGCTTTGGCCGAGTGCCGCCGGGTCGGGTCACGACGCCCGAAGGCTGTGAAGAAACAGTTCGGATCGTAAAAGTTGGAGCACAGGGAGCTTTCAGGCACGGAGCAGATCGCTCTGCGTCTGCGCATAGCGGTTAACGACGGCCTGTCCCCAATTCCAGGTTTGTGTGATTTTCGTGAAGTCTTTTCAGAGGTTTTATACCCTTACAAAGGTCGCCTACTAATTTAATCAGTTACTAAAATAAAGGTCTTAGTTCGAAAAATTGTAATACATATTATTAATCTATATTAATTTTGTAATAATTTTTTAGGAGCTTAATACGAAGTGAAGAAGTCATCAAAGTATATATATGTATTACTGATCAATATCAACATCAAAGTCGATCTTTATTCAAAAAATTTTATAATAATAATATAATTATAATTAAATAGAAAAATAAAATTAAAGCAATTAAGAAAAGGAATTTAACCCTTCGGTGTCTGCACCATAAGCTTCCCCATTTCTTTTTGGGATATATTTTTTTGGCAGAGATACTGCCATAAAGACGCAAAATACTTGAGTCAACAGATAATATAATAAAGAATTCCACACACGTCTTCTGCTGCTGCTTCTGATACACTTGGCGCAATTACCTGAAATCGGCACAAGAGAAGCCCCGCAGAAAGGCACTCTCCTTCCCGGGGGACAGGAAAATATGCAGTCAACATTAGAAAGTAAGGCAAATCGAGGCAAAAAACAAAACTCTGCCGAAGATGTTCGATGAGATGGCACCAGCAGGGGCAAGGTGAGGAGAACACACACGACCGGCTGCGTGGAAATTGACCAAAAGTGAGCACTTTACCTGCCCAATTTGTGCCTGTCCAAGACTTGTCTGGACAGGAAGATCTTGGCTTCAGCCCGCAAGATAGCATGTGAAAGTGCGCATAGAATGATGGAGCAGTGAAAATGGAAAATGCCCAAGTCCAGACTTTCCACTTCCTGTAGAAAATCTAGTCAGAGTTTGCGTGTAGAAAAAAAGGAGAAAAATTAAAATAAAAACTGGTTTTCTGCCGAGTAGAAAAGCCTTAAAAGGTTTCCCATTTTCCCTGTTTAAATAAAAAAACATTTTCCATTTTTTGCCATGCTTTATATAGTAAATTGTATATTTTGTTTTATATCGTGTTTGACCCCCCACATTTTACATTTTGTAACTTGAAAACTCTTTCCTCTTTCGAGCTCTCGAAAACTGTTTGTTTGCCTTGCGTAATATTTGATTTAAACATTCTACTTACTTACTTGGTGCAAAGTTGTGAATTATGTTTTGTTAGTAACATTAAAATGTAGAGTTAAGTTTAGATTTTTCGACAATGTCGCACACACATACTATCTCTCTCTCTTGTTCGTTTTGTAAAATAGTTTGGTTTTCTTGGAAAAAGAGGCCTTAGTGCCTGGGTTTCCCTTAGCTTTATCACTCTACAGTTCAATATCTTATATTGGTGCGAGACAAAGTGCAATGTTAATTTTAAATATATATATATATATATTTTGTAAATATTTCGAGGGCCCTGATTGGACGCCCTCCGTGGATCAAAAACAATTAAAGCGTTTTAGCTGCATTTTGATGCACGCTCCAAAAGGGTTTTTTCAAAAAGAATAATACGTGATTTGCCGAAATTCCAAATTGTAGTTCGATCTATATCCCTGATAGTGCCTCGATCCTCGGCGACATGAACTAAAGCACAGCTCTGTTATTAAGTATTATACTTCATTCATTTATTTAATTAAACAAAAGTGTGTAACTTAGGCAAACAAAAAGGGACTAAATGATTTCTGGGCCTGCGACCGATCAAAGTTGTCAAGAGCTCATTCGCTCGGCTTGAGATAGTTTAATTATATGTAATACAATAAAATAAATATTAAACATAGGAGTAAGAAATAAAATTAGAAAGGGTTTTATTCATTCCAAAAAGTACGCTGATCGATCCCCCTATGCGGGCTCACTCTTCGCATAGAGTTGCTTGGCTATTTACTACATCTCTTGGCTCTTTAGTTAGGTTTTGCATTAAAGACTTGCTGTGAGTTGGATTGCTTTCTAAACACTAAACATTTCGTGTTATTTGTATTTTTTGTTACTCGGTTGCTTGCTGTTTGCTCTTGTAATTTCACTAAACTAATATTTAACATTTCATTACTTTCACACACAATATATGCTCTTAACAATTTCGTCAGCAAAAAATCGTATCAAAGAGTCTGCATACGTTTCAATACAAAATATAATCGTAATTAATATTCCACTCCATCTGCTACTCCTCCTTCCATCGCATCACTATCAAATCTACAAATCCTCCTCCTTAGGTCGAAATCGCGTCGTTCAGCAGCGCGTTCAGCTCCCGGATGTGCTGGGCCTTGGATCCGGTGGCCGTGGAGGCTCCACAAGCGCGTCCAACATAGCTATGGATAGTCAAAGAAGAACAGATTAGCTGGGGAATCCTGGGAGATGCTGATTCATTTATTGGGTTAGAGACACGTGCACTAGTCTTTAGTCTTGAAACTAGTTTTCTTTGGTTGCTTTCTTTAGCACACTTAGGGCAAATGGCAAATGTTTAATGAAATGAGGGGGTTAGGCAAGCGCAGGGTATTTATTAGCTCTAGTTTATTAGAAATGAAAAGAGATCTTAGGTCGAGGCGGGAGCTTAAAGGGAAACCACACCGAACCCAAACATTGAAATGGACTCCTGAAAGGAAGCATTCCCTTGCTTCCATTGTTTACATTTTATTTGTAATCCTTCGGATTGTTATCATAAATTCTCAAGCCCCTTTCGTACAGCAAACTGCCTTGAATTAGGATGTATGAAATGTCTGCCTAAAAGCATCTAAAAGTCTACAAGTTTTCGATATAGTATGTTTGTTGTGTGGCTTATACGACACTTTGGACAAAACATACATAACAATGAATGGAACTGGACGACGACTTGGGTTAGATTGGAGCAATACACATGTCGGGGTTAACTGTGGTTATCTCTTTCAAAACAAGGGACTTGCGAACGGCATAAAAATATGTGGGCGGGGAACTTATCAAAATCAAACTCAAAACGCAAAATCGAAACGCGCGTGCTTGGTTCTGAACTGTAAAGTAAGAGAGTAAGTAGTCAGAGGTTAAGATATAGTTTAGTTCGAGACTGGATAAAGTAGAGTAAGTAGAGTAGTAAGTAGGTTTTAGTGTATTGTTTCTTTTCTGGGAAAGGGTATAACAAACATCATGCCGAACAACAGAAATCAGTAATCAGCAATCGAGGAAAAGGAAACAAAAAGAGAAACGGAAACGGAAACGAGACAAATGAGGAGTTAACGAAACTGAGAGTATTAATTTGGATCGCTCCGAGGGTAGTAGATAGTAGTAGTAGATAGATAGGTTGATTATTAGATAGATTAATTGTAGATATATAGATTGTATTTGATCGCGGGCAGCATCGTTGCTTAGCTAGCTGTGTGTTCCTGGTGGTCCTCTCACCTAATTTTGCGTCCGGACTTGGCCTTACGCGTTCCGGGAGCGGCCGCGATGCCCGCTGGCCTATTGAAATCGTGTCGTACGTTCTTTAGGTCAAAGTGCTTGGCGGCATTAAACTCGCCACTCTGGGCCGCCGTAGCAGGATCCGTAGGATCGCCCTTCGCGTTCGAGGCGGCGAACATGCGGCTTAGCCAGGGTTTCGATTTTTGATCGGAATCGGAGTCGGATTCGTGATTAGTATGATCATTAGTGGTAGTAGTATTGGTGGTTGTATTGGAGAAGGAGGATTGCTCATCGCTTTGGCTGTAACAATAACACATACACAGAGAGAAAACGAGAGAGAAAGAGAGAGGATTTGTTTTTGTTTGGTTTTTTTTTGTTGTTTTCGATTTCTTTTGTTGTTTCGAATTTGTCACAAATTTTGTTCATTATTTTTGAGTTCCGCCAATTGCTCGTCACATATTTACACAACGAATGGGACTGGGTTTGAGGGACTGGGTTTTGGTTTTCAGAATAACACAAAACTGGTATTTGCTCATCGTCTTGCACAAGTTTCGATTAGTAAAGAAAGATACAACTTAACGAGGGCGTCAGGGGTTAAACAAAATCATAAAGAAGAAGCCATGCCAAGTAAAATGAACAGAATGAATTGTTTCTAATGAGTGATGAAGCCAATTTGCTGATGGACTCGCTTGGAGAATTTTCTGTGATCGAATTTATAGGTTTCGAGGTGACAAAAATGTTGATTTGGTTTTCTTTTGCAGTGCCTGGACATGCTCATCCAAAACAGAATTAAAGATAACTCAAGGCGGATATCCGTTCAATGTGTTTGTGTGTGTGGAATGTGTTGTTGTTTCTTTTTTATCACTTTTCTAGGGTCTAAGTCTAGCTACTCAGGAAGAGATATTGGGAGAGATATATATAGAGATAGGCGGTAGCAGCTAGGAGGCATGATGAGGGGTGATAGGAAGCTCTATGTTCAATTAATTTTTAGCCAAAACCGTATGACGATAGCTTATTATTTAAGATAAATAAATATACGAAGGGAATAGAAGTGGAAATTCATTGAGAATTAAATAATATATAACAAAACACTGCCTTTGTGCCAAAAAGTAGTTCGAAAATGTGATTTCTGGTATTTAGATCTCGAAATATTGTAAATTCAAGAATTTAGGATTAAAAAATGCGTTCATTTGAAATACTGTGCTTACGTTAGTAATAAATTTGAATGGATTTAACCCACAGAATTTTCTATTATTAATTTTTTTAGCGTCATACGGCATTGACAACTAAGAAAAATAGCGATAGGCTTCGATAAAAAAATATAGTTCAGTAAAATAATGATTGGGTTAATGCAAAAATAGAGTGAAATAATAGCAAAGGAGAGAAAGATATTGAGAGAATCAAAGTAAATAAACAGAGACAGTGCACGGTGAGAGTAGTGGGTGCACTTCACTCCAAAGGGACAGAGATAAACAGAGAGATTGCAGAAGATACGTAGCCTGAGGGACAAGGATCAGGCTGAGGCGCGGGCTCAGTCTCGAGTGGATGGGATTCGGTGACCGCTTAGTGTTCTAGCCCTGGCACCTACCTGATGTCGCGGCTGTGGTTGAGGGCGGTCAGGAAACGAGGCTGCACATAGGTCCAGCAGCCCTGGTTCTTGTGCTCCTCCTGGGCCCACACGAGCTCAGCGTTCTTGTATAGGTTGGCCTGCTCCTTGACCAGGTCGAAGGGGAAGGGCGAAATCTAAAGGAAATGAAATCAATAATTAGCTGATTCTGCATTCCTTTTAAGAAAAACCAGTGTAGTTCATACCTGCTCCACACGCACGATGGCCACCTCGTTCTCCAGCTTCTTGTCGGCACGCGCCTTGGTCAGATCGTAGTAGACGCGACCCGTGCAGAAGACAACCTTCTTAACGTTGCTCGGGTTCTCACCGGCCACTCGGTCGGGGATGATGCGCTGGAACTCGCTGCCCTCGCTCATCTCGCTGAAGGGGCTCTTGGCCTCCGGGTGACGCAGCAACGACTTGGGCGTGCACAGAATGAGGGGCTTGCGGAAGGGCAGAGCGATCTGGCGGCGCAGGATGTGATAGTAGTTGGCGGGCGTCGTGCAGTTGGCCACGATCCAGTTGATGTCATGCAGCTGGCGGGTGCCGAACTCATCGGACTCCGGGGGAAGTAGTCGGGATCGTCGCTGCTCATCTGGAGGAAGCGCTCCACGCGGCACGAGGAGTGCTCGGGTCCCATGCCCTCCATGCCGTGGGGCAGCAGCATAACCAGACCGGACTGGCGCACCCACTTGGACTGACCGCTGGAGATGAACTGATCGATGATCGACTGAGCCGTGTTGCTGAAATCTCCGAACTGAGCCTCCCACAGCACCAGGGCGTTGGGGTTGGTCATCGAGTAACCGTGCTCAAAGCCAAGCACAGCGTACTCCGACAGCGAGCTGTTTGACACGGAGTAGGGCGCCTGGTCAGGGTACATGTGCTGCAGCGAGTTGTAGGTGGCCTTGTCCACCAGCTGGTGGTGCAGAACGTGGTGACGATGCGAGAAGGTACCGCGCTCCACATCCTGACCGGAGAGGCGGACGTGGATGCCCTCCTTCAGCAGAGAGCCGAAGGCCATGGCCTCACCCAGAGCCCAATCGGCGATTTTCTCGTCCACCATTGCTTTACGGGCGGCCAGCACACGAAGCAGACCCCTAAACAGAGAATATATATTAAATAAATTCAATGGATAATATTAGTAAAACTCACTTGTGGATCACGAATTCCGCGGCATTTGGTGGCGGCGACGAGAAACGGTTACCGATGTGAATGAGCGTCTCCTCCTTGACACCAGTGGGTGCCACCTTCAGGGGGTCCTTGCCCTCGAAGAAGCCAGACCAGGGCGAGTCCAGCCAGTCCTTGTACTTGACGTGAGTCTCGGTCTTGGCCAGAGCGAAGGCCTCCTCGCAGATGTTCTCGTACTTAGCGGCGACGGACTTGACCTCCTCGCCGGTGACGGTACCCTCGGCAATCAGTTTGTCGGCATACAGATCCAGGCAGTTCTTGTGCTTGCGGATCTTCTGGTACATTAGCGGCTGCGTGAACATGGGCTCGTCGATCTCGTTGTGTCCGTTGCGTCGGTATCCCACCAGATCGATAACGCAGTCCTTGTGGAAAGTGGCACGCCACTCGGCAGCCACCTTGCACACGTGCATCACAGCCTCTGGATCATCGGCGTTTACGTGGAAGATGGGAGCGTTGACCACACGGGCCACGTCCGTGCAGTAGGGTGAGGACCTCGAGAAACGGGGATCGGTGGTGAAGCCAATCTGGTTGTTGGCCACCACGTGGATGGTGCCGTGGGTGGTGTAGTCGGGCAGGTCCGAAAGATGCATCGTCTCGTACACAACACCCTGACCGCAGAAGGCGGCATCGCCGTGAATAAGGATGGACATGACCTTCTTGCCCTCCTGGTCACCGCGGTAGAACTGCTCGGCACGGGTCTTGCCCTGCACGACGGGATCCACGGCCTCCAAATGGGAGGGATTGGCCACCACAGCCAGGCGGATGTTCTTGTTTGTCACGCGGTTCAGACGCTCGATGTACGTACCCAAATGGTATTTGACATCACCAGAACCCTAAAGAAAAACTCTTTATTATGGGATATTCCCTTTTGGAAAGCTGTCTAGTGTAACTTACATCATCAGCGGCCTCCAGACCAGCAAACTGGGTGAAGATCTGGTTCAGGGGCTTGCGGCACACGTTGGCCAAGGTGTTGAGGCGTCCACGATGGGGCATACCCATGATGACGGACTCCACGCCCAGCTCGGTGGACACATCAATGATCTCCTTCAGGGCTGGGATCATGATCTCGCAACCTTCCAGACCGAAACGCTTCTCGGAGGAGTACTTCTTGGCCAAGAAAGCCTCGAAGCCGGTGGCACGGGTCAGACGGGCCAGGATCAGACGCTTCTCCTCGGGCGAGAAGTTCAGGACGCCGGGTGTCTCGAAACGCTTGCGGATCCAGTTGCACTGCTCCAGGGAGTTGATGAACATGAACTCCACACCAATCTTGTTGCAGTAGACATTCTCCAGGCGGTTCAGGATTTCCCTTAAAAGCAATGAGATTTTGGGATCAATAAGGAAGTAGTAAATAGTGGTATATACTCACTTCAGGGCAGGGAGGCCTCATCGCCACCGATAAAGGTGGTGCTGGGCAGCTTGAACTGGCGCTCCATATCCTGCTCGCCTGTTTCCGTAACGAATTGGGGTTAAGAATGGGTTTTTTACTTTAGTAAGCAGCTCGGAAAGGTGGGGGTCAAGTGAGGTTTATGTTAGTAAACTGTAGGCGGCAAATGTTGGTTTTGAAATTCGGAGTGTAATGATATTTTAGTTTCTTCGTTGGTACCAGCAGAAACCTAATAAGAAATAGATGAATAACGCTCATACATGTGAATTGAAAGCACGACAAATTCCAGAGCAGAAAATAGTAAAGCGTTACACATCTTGTTGTTATATTGGTCTTTGCTGCGAGTACCATTCAGGGTGTACGAGTACAAAAAGTTCGGATTGGGTTCATGCTCATCTTGGTTCTTAACTGACACTTTCTCAAACACTTGGCGCCACTGGCCAGTGGACATGCATTAGACACTGATGGTGATAACTGAACTGAAATTGTTTCCCGAATGGTTTCATAATCATTTCACTTGCAATCAGACTAATTGGGGCTTATCATCGATCGATTTCCCTTCGTTTCGCTTGTGAAAAAAAAAATAAAACAATCATGCAATCTATATTCATGACAAGGTCGAACGAACTCGTGAGAATAAATAATAATAACAGTACTTCAACTTATTGTCACATATTTTAAATTACATTATTATAATGAAAACAATGAGGCAGGAGAATGTACAAACGATGTAACACAAATTGGCAATATATAGGCGTATATTTACTTGGTTCTATATATCATACACAACATTTGTGTGGTGGGATTCGATTTTGATGTCGGGTTTATCGTGTGTGCGTGAAAGACAAGAGACAGTCACTACCACAATGTTCTCGGTATGTTCTTAAGGTATGTACAGATCAAGATCAGGGAGATCAAGGAAAAGGGTTAAGGAACGCAAAACGGGGCGTGGTGTGTCCCGGGTCGAATTTACTTACCGAAACTGAAATTAGCGTAAATGGATTTCGTCGAGGAGTTGCCAGGCAATTCTGGTGTATTAATTTCGAGTGGGTCGAGGTGAGCAATATTATGTCCTCGAATCTAAGGTGTCAGTTTTGGGTGGATTGGTGGTGTGTGTGGTGTTGGTAGTATTAACAATGTTTTCGGATTGGTTTTGGTTCGTTTTCGATTTGTTTTTAGGTTTGCACAACACACACACATAATAAGTACAAAGAGAGAGAATTTGGAATTCGTTTTAAACATTGTTTTCGAGACGAGATTTGGCGGTTTTCGGTTTGAGTTTCGATTGCAGTTTTTGTTTTCAATTTGGTTTAACATTTAGGTTAGGAAGCGGTTATATAAAAATAAAGTAAAAAGAAAATAATCAATTAAAATTATAGATACGTAGTATAGTATGGCATAAAAACGAAAAATATAAACAGAACAGATACAACAGATTCCTCAGCGCACAGAACACAAAATGAAGCAAACTCTAAGGGCTCAGTAAGTAGACAATGATCGGTAGATATAAATGGTAATGTTTCGTTTTGTCGAATGTTAATCAAGGATCGGGAATCAGTGCAGTGCACGACAGAGGCGGATAAATAGATAAAGAGACATGAAAGTGGGGTGCCGAAACAGAGAAAGAGTAGAGAAAACTAGAACTATAAACCGTAACTGAAAGACGAAGAACTTTGAGAAAGCCAAACACCAAAAGGTTACTTACAGGAAATACCATAAACCTAGAACTATAAAACGGAACTCGCTAACTATAACTTAAGCCTATGGATAATTGTCAATTTTCCTGCTCCTCATCAACTCCGAATTTCACTTAACATTCTTCTGCGGTTAAAGGTTACTTAAGCACGATACACTCGTTCGTTGTTTTTCGGGATGTTTAACTTAGGCTCTAGGTGTTGGGATGGAAGGGAGTAGCGGTTGGTGCTCGATTATCGGATTGAGTGCTTCTATGGTTGGGTTAAATGAGAGAGTGTTCTGTAAAAAGAAGAATTTACCAAACAAAAACCCAGAGTGCTGCCTGAGCACATCTTCGTTAGCACGACGTGCTAGACCATCCTTGCAAACGGTTTTTTCGCGTGTTAAAATTCCAAGCGGATCCAGATCAGATGCCAAATGACCACGTGACTATATTGTATGGTTCGAACAATTTGTAGACAGATATTGGTTGATTATACATATGTGGGGTAGATCATATAGGTCTTAGGTATATCAAGAGGGGGTTATCGTGTTTGTGTGGCCTTAGTAACTAACTCAAACAATGGAAATCAGCTACAAATCAACGGGCTTTAACTTTACCAACAAAATTCTAACTCATGTGCAACTTAAAAGAAACACTTCTTCTCTGGCAATACCCCTTCGGTACGTACCCCAGATAAGTTAATGGGAAATGGTGCTAAGAAAGTATGGCCCCCAAACAGTAAGGTGGTAAGCCGGGATGGAGGTGATCGAACAGATTATCAAACTACTTATGAACTTCTACTCGCTACCAACTAAATGGAAATGGGAATGGAAACCAATATCGATGCCGTGAGGAAACTCAAAGACTATCTCTACCATGTGTACTGGACGCGGTATGAACTGGTTTCTTGGGAAATGAGAACACACATAAAACAGGGGGCAAAGGCAACTCTAATAATCATAATCTAAACATAAACATTAACTGAACCTAGGAGAACGTAAAAAACAAAAAGCGCCAAACGAATACGAATACGATCCGCAATGGCTGTGGCAGCTGCAATCTCCACTGTTCGACTTCTGTGAACCAGTTGGGGAGGGGAAGCCAGCACGAGCCGACATACCTGGTAGCTCCTGATGATGGCCTGCACGGCCAAATGGTCGTCAATGGTCTTGGAGTCGGGCGCAGCGCCAGAGACGGCGGCTCCACCGAAGTTGAAGGCCGTCAGCGGCAGAGTGTTGGCCTGCACGGGCGCCAAGTTCGGGGGGCTGACATAGCTGTTGCTGCGGAAGTACGCATCCCAGGACTGCAAATAAGAGGGAAGCTTTACTAATTGCACATCAAATTATATATAACATTTACGATGATGAATATATTGAGTAACTTCCTTAACACGGAAATAACTTAAAGCCAACAAAGCAAACCCCTTTCGAATTACTCGTTTAAGTTGAATCACACCCGGAATTAATCACTCTCCATTAACAATTACTTACGGTGTGCACGGAGGTGGGATCCCTCAGCCAGGCATTGTACATCTCCTCCACATAGGAGGCGGTGCTGCCGTTGGCGAATGGCTCAGCTGCCGCAGAGTTGTAGGTGCGCACAGCAGCTGCAGCAGTGACCTTGGCCATCTGAAAAGAAATTACCAGTTATAGATACACTTTTAGTAATGATCAATGACCAACAGACTCACCTGCTTGCTGGTGTTGCTCTTGAGGAGCCATGTGGCAAAGTTCTTGTGCGCCATCGGCGACAACGCCAGGCTGAAGGCTGTGTGGGCTCTATGCATTTTGTAGATTTACAAAATAATACTGAAAATGAAGAGAGACATTAGTTGGTTTGGGGATTTTATCAACTGATTAATCTATGGCGCTTTGTTAACAAACAAGCCACATAGAAGATAGCACACCCGCCCCCTAATAACCTGACCCTCTCGGCTGCTGTAAACGCGATTAGATTAGACCCAGAAACCTTTACGTCATGGCCGCTTTTTCGGTGTTTTAACTGTGTCATCGCCGATCTACTGCCAGCTAATTGAAACTTGTTGCCAACCACCCAGCGGGAGGTAGTTATAAAATTCCCTCACGAAACGAGTTAACAATGAATGTGTGGCCAGCGGTGTATTTGTGGCAAATTTACATACGTCTAAAGCCTGACTAGACCAGACCGTATGGTTAGGCGGATCGCTAAGGCACACACACGTGATGCCGAACGTCCCATGACGTCAAACTGGCGTGGGTAGTTCTGCTCGTCGTCTTTTTGATAATCAGCCAAGAAATTGCGGAGATACTTTGGCCCCCAAAAAAATAATAAAATGGTGAAATGGGGCTTATTTTTTTGGGGCTATGAGCGAGAGAAGGTAGAGAGAGCGAGCAGCTGCTTTTTGCGCAGTTTTTTCATTTCGTTTCTTAATCAGTTGTGAATATTTGCTGGTTGGACTTTTGTTTGCCAAATACGTATCACGGTCAGCATCCACCTGTGTTTTTTTTTTTGGGAACGAACGAGTTTGCGTCGAGGGAGATAACGTCAAGTGTGAATGTCCCGGGGTCGGAGTAATAAATTCCTGGCGGTCTGTGACTAAACGCAGAACCCTCTAGACGCGAAACCCAGGTGATAAGATGATGGCGCTGCGTAAAACCGGCCTCTGTTGTCGATCATGCCACGCCAGCAGTTCCAGCGGAATTTGTCAATTATTAATCAAATTATTTGTGATAAGGACGCGCGTGCGGATGTCGTAATTGAATCGCTATCTTAGGCCAAAGTCGTGCAAAAAAAAAAAAAACAAAAAAGGCAGTGACTGTGGCTGGGAATTAATGGGAAAGTCTGGGAAGAGGCGTGGCCGGGTCACATGTCTTATCGGCAAACGCATGCTGCTGGCGCTGTCCAGACGATCAAAATCAAATGATTACAAAACACTGGCCCCCAAATCCCAGACCTCTCCCTCGACCAAAAAAATAAAAAAAAAGGGAAAGGAAGCAATTGGAGCGGCTAACCGGTTTGAAGCGGTCAAAGTTAAGTATTTGAATGTGCAGGAGCAACATAAGCATAGTGTGAATTCGGTAATAGTTACAGATACATTTTACAGCTGTAGCTGCAGCTACAGTGGAAAAGATAATTGAATTTAGCCGCCTACAAACACTGCTCCTCTCAGTGTTAGCTATCTGTTTGCTTGTTTTGTGCTGGCGCTTTTCACAAACTGCTTTCCTTTGCAATTATATTCTGCTAGACGTCGCCGCCGCTGTTACGAAAACAGATTACATAAGTGCAAAAAAAAATAATAAAACAGACTCGCGTGAGAGCAGCAAAATTATTAGAACGCTCAGATGGAGCTAATTAGTGTGAAATAGGACGGCGAGCAGCCCGCTTTCATTTGGAGCGTGTCTGGAAAAATCCATTAAAGTATTGTCGATATTTTCGGGAATGGGGGATAGTGACTAGCCGACCGAATATACACTGCACGGCACCGAATGTCTTGTATGGTATATAGGTGCGTATACTATAGCGCATACGATTGCTCCAAAAAAGCAAAACCAACCGAATATATGTACTCGACGCACTCGTATCCGTATCTCGCAGATACGCGGCTAACGTTTGTTCGGGCTGAGTGCTGCGCGTCGACTGAAGCGAATGCGAGCGGAATGCAAAGGCTGCCGTCACCGTCACCGTCGCCGCCGTCGAGAGTGAAATACAAAATTTAGAAATCGAAAATTTGCTCTTCGCGAGCGGCGGCCACAAGAGGAGCAGTGTGTTTTTGTGGGGAAAGCGGAGAGTGTGTGTGTGTGTGTGTGTGTGTGATAAAAAGCACACACAATCCTGACTGTGGCACATGACAACTCGGCGTTGTATCTTTATCTTCAGGCAAAAGGGGGTTTGGTCTTCGCGCTGAGAGAGAAGGAAAGACCAAGGCGGACCTGAGTGTTATCAGGTATATTATGTATGTCTACTGTCCTTCCTCCGGCTATCTGGCCTATTCGCCACTCTCTCTCCGCATTCTTCCCCCGAGTCTTGCGTATTTATAGCCAAATTTGTTTACAACAAACCCAAAGTCCGTTCGTCAGCCGGCTGACTGTTTGAACAGATACCGCCCACACAGGCGAAAAGAGGCGGAGACGGTGACACAGAGAGGAAGAAGAGGTAATATGATCAAAAATCAATAAACGGAATGTTGCTTTTCTTTTAAACCTATTTTTCAAGGTCAGTAACAATTGAAATTGAATTATACGGCGGAAAAATGCACTAAGTAATTTAAAATAACAAAATGAGCACTTTAAATGAATGCAGTTTTACTATTTAAAAGGCTTAATTTCTCAAGTTAAAATTAGTTCTTTCAAGAATAATATCTATTATTTGTAAAGCTAAAAAGAAAAATCTTTAAAAATAAAGCTCTTAAAAGAAGAACAATAGGCTTTAATTAATGGAGATTAACTACATTTTTAATGTATGAATAATGGTTTTCTTTCAGTGTACCAAATGCGTCAAGTACAATGCGCTTAAATTCGTGACTGTATGTATGAATGAATATCGATTACCTTTCCGCTAATCAATAAACTTTTCAAGTTCACAAGCAAACAAATTTAATTTATCAATTTATCTCTAAAAGGGGTGAAAATAACTGAAACTGAAAATACCCTTGCTTTCAAGTTCTTTTGATATACTAACTGGAAATTATCAGTCACAGGCTGTCTATTAGTAACTGGCTCTACACAAATTAAGTAGGGTAAGTACCTTATGAGCAATGCAATGAGCCTTCTGGGAAAGCTGATAATGGAAAATGAGTTCTGAGAAGATAAAAATAATGCCTCTTTATAGAAGTTTAAATATTAATTCAATCAACAATGATGACATTTTCCAGGAAATGTATGAAAATATGGGGTAATATAAAGTTTCCCAACTCATCGAACGATTCAAAATACTCTTCCAAAAAGGGTATAAGAAAGGTAACAAAGGCGCATTAGATAAGGTTGAGGTCTCGGGTTAGCCGCTACAAAAACCTGCAACTGCATTCCATTGAAAACCCTAGACGAGCCCCCAAAAAGAGGAAGAGGAAGAAGAGGGGCACAACCACATGAGGTAATTGAAGCGTGTCCAAGAGGCGGGACACGGATACTATTACTATTCCTGATCTGGGACCAGGGCAGCCGGCTTATCATAGGTTGCGAGTGCTCCACATTTATCAATAAAAACTAGTTCCCCTTAGCAAACGGATAAAAATGCGGCAGACAATGCGGCCGCGCGCTTTCGTCGAGTCTCTTTTCATTTGGTTTTTTGATTGATGATTCATTTGTGGGTCGGAGAAAAAGCACACGCGGCACAGTCGTCAATTGCGTCATCGTTGCGAGTTTTAGTTAATTTTACAGCGGCGTCTGTGACGTATTCGTTGTTGCTTGTTTTGCATTGCGAAATTTCACTTTTCAGCTGGCGACAGGCGCAAGCGCTTTTCCGACCACCGAGCGCCGCCCACCTGCACTTTTGGCATTATATAAGCACACACACAGTCCTTGGGTATTTCCCGATGCAGAAAACCCTGGAAAACTCAATAATCAAGAGTTCTCAAGTTGCACCACCCAGCGGAAAATGGAACACGCGGTAATGTGGCACTTATTGGCCAAGGGAATCAATTCCAGGAACTCCACATGACAGCAAAGCAGGCTTGAATCTGAGCCAGAGGAAAATCACTCGATTTGTCGGTTTTCAGGATAGGAGAACACTGGCACTCGGTCGCCACGGTTACCTGGTAGCTTTTCAAAATTCACCGCACTTGATTCACTTAAAACTAGCTTAAAAGTTTAAATATTTACTTTTTGCAGCCGAAACTTTGTTTTCTAGAGCTGGAAGTAGCTCGATATCTTCGATATTCGCATACGTTTTTCGGATATCGATGTTTTTTGTTTTGGTGGTGTGGTATCGGTTGGAGGGTGGGAACTCGGCTTCAAAAAGATATTGACTTGAGCGCCTTAGCTGTGACTGCAACCAAATTTATTTTTAACATTGCATCGATTTTTAAATCTTATTAATTTTGTAGTCCATTTTCTTTTAAATCTTAAAATTTATATTTATGGATGTGCCATAAAGAAAGTTGGTAAGTAACTTAATTTTATGTAACTGATATTCTTCCTATATGAGTTTATAGTCACACTTAATTAAGTAATATCTTATTGAGAGTTCAGTTCCTCGAATTTAAAAAGTTGAGGATACATTTAAACTAGAATGTATATTTCATTTTTTACATAATTAGGGAGATAGTGTGGGGGAGACCAAATATCACTGTATGCAGCCCAGTTTTATACCCTTGCAGGGTGATATAACTTTAGTCAGAAGATTGTAACGCAGTTAAAGAGTTATTTCCAATCTTATAAATCATATATGTTCTTGATCAGCGTTAACTAGCGAGTCACTTTACTTATGTTTTATGAAACAAAAAATTTGACCCATTTTTACAACATTTTATAAGGGAAAAATTGTGAAAAATTTATACAAATTTTAATTTTTCAAAATTTTTATTTTATGATGCAGAATTATTAACCAAATAAAAAGTAAAATATAGTATAAAAGCTTTCAGAATTAAAATTAATTGTTTTTTGACTTAGGTATGACGTTTTTGAATTTTGATTTATTGAAAAAAGTGTAATATACAAATCTCGATCAATATTGATTCAAGGAACCCAAAACTTTTAAGCTTAGGCATGGATTGATTTTCGATTCGATCGTATAATTCATTTGCAAACAACAAGAATATAGTAACTTTGGCATTTCGAAGTTAGTTTCCTTTCTTGTTTTTTTTAAATCATTTCCAAAGGCTAAATTATTATGATATTTTAACCTAGTTGCCCGTATCGTAAGAGTGTAATTGAGACACTCTCCAACTCGATATAAACTTGGACTAAACATTTTATTGCGACACAAAGCACATACATATCGCGACTAGCGACTAACGACTAATTAGTATCTGCTGTACTGATCCAGACAGTAGCCGGTAATTTGGTCAGATATGCAATCGAAGACATCAAATGCCAGATCGCAGCTTTCACCTTTTTGGGGCAGCTCCTTGCGATTGACTCTGTACCGGGCGGTCATTGTCCTGAGACAAAGGTTCACGGCCCGCAAGGTGGCCATAAAGAAGCCATGCTCGTCAACGCCCTCGGAGTAGAAGTGGACCAATCCGTCAAGCGTGGGCCAGCCTTTGTGGTCTATAGCGTTGTTCCTCGCATAAACGCAGTGTAGCAGGCACTGTGAAGAAAATTATGCAATATAAGAGAACATTTTAAAAATAAAGTAATATTTTATATATATTTTTGAATGGATTTTAATAAATTGAATTAAGAATACTCTAGAAAAAACGGCCTATAAATACGTAGTGTAAACCAATATAATCTAAAACTGTTCTGGTAACACATAAAGAGCATCCTTTTGTCTTCTCCTGTTACCACTTTAAAATACACCATCTTTAAGAATACTATACATAGTAAAAAAAATAGAAACAATTAGTGAGATAATTTATCAAATAATACTAGTACTTTCCCACTGTGTACTCGACAGAGGGCTAACTTTTTATTCAATTTTGTGATGCATAAAGCCAGCTAATGTGTACTAAGTGCCGCCCATAAAGTGCGCTTTTCAGCCATCAAATTCAGCTTTGGCTGGAGGTGTGCGAAAAATCTCCGGCGTGTGAGTTTTGAATGCATCTGAAAAACTGAAAAAATGCAATCGCATCTGCTGCATGCCGGAGCTTTTCTTTCAATTGTCTAATAACCCTGACTTTAGGCTTTTGTCGGATGGGGCAATGAGGGGGGGAAGAGCCTCAGCTCAGCTCAGCTCAGCCGATTGTTTCTTGGGCTGCCATTGAACTTAATTGAGCGTTGGTTTTGCATTTCATTAACACGGGAAGAAGATCTATCTGCCATCTGCTGGAAATCCAGAGTGCACTTACCCCCGCAATGCGTTTGTCCTCCAGAGGCACCAGTGTGGGATGATATATACCCGAACTGGCCACATCCAGGCGTCGAATGCTTCTCATTAGCCTGGCCACATGACGCTGGGGCTCCGGCTCATCGTAGACTATGTACTCGTAGTTGCTGATGTTCACAGGGCCCCCGGATGAAGGAGGAGGAGGATGAGGAGGATGATCCAGTTCGATGGTTGCTGAGCCATCAGGAGCCGATGGCCAAATGAAATCGATGGAGTCATCATTGGGATCAATGGGCGGTTGTTCGTGGGCCACCTGCTCCTTGAGTATCTCATAGGCCTCTGTGAAGGATTATTTATTGCTTGCAAGTAGCTTGGGGGAAACTCTCTCACCGTTGACCAGCTTATTCCTGATCTCATCCTGGCACTCTCCGATGACGGATTCCACCTTTCTGGCCGTTCTCGGGGGATTCAGGCAGCGCTGCTTCTTCGTCTCGAAGCGTATTATATATTCCAGTGCCTCGATCGATGCGATAACCACACTCGAGATATATAGCAGTTGTGTAATCTTCATGGCTGCTCCGATTAATTGGATACTCCACGCCTGATCGAATCGATCCTAACGCCTGGACTGCTGTCACACGAATGTCCCCCAAGAAAGGCCCCCGAGATGAAATCGAAAGCATTTTCACTTTTCCAGCCGTCGGTGCGGTGCGCATTTCCAGTTTCGCTCAATGGGTATGTGGTTCAATGGCAAATGCAACTATGAGTGCCACAACTGGTTGCACATTTCCCATGCGTTAGTCCGTTAGAAACTTGTCCTTAAAGCCCCCAACCACATGCCAGTCCATGCACATGGTCATTGGCATCGCATATAGCTGGATGATCCGATCGGTTCGCATTAGATTTCCATCTATTGTTTCTGCGGTTCGGTTCAGTTAGGAACGCACTCGCTTCGATTGAGCGCACAATTAACCAATAGAGGGCTCGACAAACTCTTCCGCCTTCTGACCAATTTCCATATGGCCAAAAGAAACAGATGGCCATAAAGATTATCAAAGGCGGTAGTGGTGGAGATGGACTGGGCTGGGCCATAAACTATAACCGAAATCAAAGTCAGCCAAGCGATTCCCCGCCCAGAACACAGCACCCAGAACCCAGAAGCACTGGAACCCCTAGAGGGGCCCCCAGAACAATGGCCAATAACTGTACTTGGAAGTGGTCATCGTCTCCACACTAATTATGCCTCATTAAAGTGCCGAAGATCCTAGGCGGAAATTGTCATAAACTTCTCTGGCCTCTAGTCGCTTGTCTCCTTTCAGCTGTACTTGGTAGTGGTTGGTACTTGGCTCTTTGTACTTGATGCCTGGGTAATTGCCTTTAATTGCACGCCGCTATTGCGGCTAAGACACTGACCCAGACTCGCTCCGGATCGAATCCATAATAGGCTCGGCTAACGGTCGTCGCGGTTAATGGAAAATTGAATTTGAAAATGCTTCCCATAATCTCTCCTCACCCAACTGAAGTTCAATGTTCCAGTGGCCAGTTCTTGGAGATGGCAGGAGTAGGAGCAGGAGTAGGAGCAGGAGGCATTGTCAACAGGAAGCTCTCCTCCAGAACAAGAACAACGTGAGCTAATTGACAGACAGCTACACAGGCACGATTTCCCATTTTCCCATTTTCCGTTCGCCATTTCCCCTTTGGGAATCAAAGGGGGAGGATTCTCGAAAAACAAGGAGCCTCCAGTGTGGTCACAAAATAAACAACAAGAAGCGAGTGGCTCCAGAGTCTTGAGTGCAACAGCAGCAGCAGCAGCAGCAGAAGCAGCACTTGCGTGTCCGTCATTAGAACAAATTCTCTCACCTGAAATTCCCCTCCTCCTCCTCCTCCTCCTTCGCTCTCACCTGTAACCTTACCTCGCTGCTCCCCTTCCCTTCTGGGTTGGCTTGTAACGCAATTTGCACACAAATGCTGCTGTTTCATCTTCGTGGCTTGCTGTTTTTTTCGGTGGGTGGTCAGGTGAGACAAGTGGCAAGTGGCAAGCACCACCACCATCGTGGAGGCACCACCACCGAACCGCCGACGAGCTGCCTCGCTGAGAATCGTATTTAAATACGAAGGTCTAACGCTGGATCGCATCAGTCGTCGTCGTCGCGTTGTTCTAGCCGCTAGCTCAGCTCGGGATCTCAGTTCGGTTGCAGCCTCCGATCGTTTTGCATTGGATTCGGGATTAGAGATTAATTTTGATGATCAGGATGCTCGTTTGATTGTCGCTGGACCTTTGAGTGGATTGAAACAAATGCGATTTCAAGATGCTGCATCTCCTGTGGATACTGTGCGCTCTCCTGGGATACTTTGCGGATCCAACGACAGCTGAAATCGAATACAACACCATCAACGATGACGGATCTTTTCAGTTTCGGTACAAGGATGTGTGCTTAATGATTTTGTGAAGTCTCACAAATGTTCAGTGATTTCCTAAAAAACAATTAAACAATATTTTGAGTATTTAATATAATTCCTGGTTGTAAGGCAATTCTTTATAAGTTGATATATATTTCAAGAATCTGAAAAACTTTGGATTAAAAATATGCCAATTATAGAACCAGAATTAAAACCAAATTCAATATGTATCCTCATATTCCTTGTGAGAGTTCATTTATTTTATTTAAAAATTCTAATGAAACAGTGCTGTGTGTTAAATAATAATATTTATAGTAATCTTGAAAGTAATATCATCAAACATAAACGATTCACTTAAACCTTTTGAAACTCGGAAGATACCCCTAAAGGAAATTTCAAAAGTTAATTTTTAGTTTAATTTATTATATATTATAAGAGGCTTTATGGGATCTTAGTGGTGTTCTTTACAATGCCTTAAAATACCATTTTCATAGAAAATGTTATTTCAAAACAGAAAATTGTATCTTTATCAGTTCAAATACTTTTCTTCAACAATCAAATTTTATTCCTCAAGGACTACTAAGTTTAAAGCTTTTCTAAATATTAAAAAACTCCACAAAGCTGCAGTCATTTATTCCAAATAATATATGTATATAGCTAATATTAACTAACTTAAATCCAAAATCACTTTCTTCAGCTACTATAATAACTTTTAAGTTAATCTTAACCATTTAGACAAGAGCTCGCTTAACCTCTCTTCGATGGAATGCCGAATTCATAAAAAGGGAACATCTTAATTACGATTTCTTAGCAGGCATGGGTCATAAATCTAACAAATCATCTAATCGGTATATGATGTTCGAAGGGTTTCCAAGCCTAAGTCTCAGTCTCACCATCACAGTCGAGCAAATTTGAGATTTTTAACACCTCTTTAACGCCTTAACGTTTTGCAACCACATCTATAACAATACCAATAACCCGCTTCCGACAAATCTTCCCTCCTCTCCATTTCGCACGCATGGGCCAACGCAATTACTTGTGGTTCGATGGAAACTCCTCCTCCTCCGCCCTGGGATCCACTGGTGGCCATCCGACAGACATGCAAATGATGACATTGGTGGCTACTATCACAGCGCCTCCGGCACTCCGGACAACACGGTGCGAGGTCGCTACGGTTCGCGGAGTCCGGCGAGCGGCCAGATCGAGGAGACCGTCTACACGGCCGGACCACGTGGGTGAGTAATGTAATCGAAGACGAGTGGTTAAAGTGCGGTGGTGCACTGCAAAAAATGCAGTTTGTTTTCTACCTTACTAGCTTTTGTAATTTCATTTCAATACTTAAGAAAGTATCAAAGTGGAAAATATGTATGAATTTTAAATTCAAAATTTTAACTGACAAATAATTTCAAATGGGGATTTAAATCGATATTGATATCGATATGTGCAACCCTTTCCGAAAACAGACAGATCTAGTTACCGATGATTTTTTCAATATCTTTTTAACTTCGTCACACTGGCAACTTACCAGGTTCATTCAGTCGCAAGCTGTCTCACTGAAAGGAGATTGTCTAGCTTCATACTTTATAATTTATTTACTCTTTTTTCATATTTATTTTCTATTATTTTATTTTTGTTCTGACCATTACTTGACTTTTATGTTGAGCTCAACATCCTGATCATTGTTAAGGGGACTGTTAAGAGGAAGTGATGGCACAAACTCGGCAGCACATATTGCTTTTTATTTTTATTAAAATTTAACTATAGCTTTGTTTTCCTTCATCTCCTTTTTTTTCAATTCTTTTATGGCTAATATCGTTTAAAAAAAGCTTTTGTATTTATTTTTTGTTATGACTTTGACTATGACTATGGTCTTGTTCTCCTCCAGCATTTCTTTTTCTTCGTTTGTATTTTATTTTTATTAAAATATTACTTTTTATTTGCTTTTTGCAGTTTTTTGACTTTTAAGATTACTTCTCCAAGTTCTCCCATTTTTTAATGATTAATGTCGTTTGTATTTGTAGTTAATTTTCATTGAAATATAACTTTCATTTTGATGAATTTCATTCACTTCATTGATTTCGTAGATTTCATTAACTTCATAGTCCTGTAAATTTAATTCTTGATTCATCAGCTGTTGGCTTGGCTGCATTTTTTTTATTAATGTCGTTTAAATGAGTATTATTTGTATTTAATTTGCATTAAAATATTGCTTTCGTCATCATAGTCTTCACCGACTTCAATGACTTTATAGTCTTGTTAATTTAACTCTTCAAATTGTCGCATTATGGATGGCAAATATCGATTGAAAAATGATTTTTTTTGAGTGTACACTCACCTATGAAAGGCTGGCAAGAGGAAGTGGCAGCACAAAGTGAGTTATCTTCTCCCGATGTCAGAGTTGAGCTCATATATCAGCGGTTGGCTTGACGGCAGGCGGCGGCCACTGAAGCGAAACTCGACTCTAAAAGTGGCGGCTCTAGGCTCCAAGTCGAAACCGTTCTAACACATTGGACGGTTTTTTGTGGCGTTGCCTAAACGTTTTTCCATTACCGCCACTCGGCTACTGTTTGTTTTTTTGCAATCTCCGGTAAATTGGGGGGGAAACAAAAAGCTGTTAACAAATTGACTGGCCTGGGAGTTCGGGGCAAAAACGGAATCTACAACCACTTTGGCTTGCTCGTAGGGCCTGCAGATGCTCAGCGATAGCGATAGCGATAGCGGTGATTCTGAATGGGGGATCGTTCCCCGAGATGTGGGGTAATCTGAGTAACGATGTGCCGGGTCCAGATCGGATCTAGTGATATATGCGGAATTGCAGGGCGAATCTGTTTCCGCTGGGAGGCTTAACGCAACTCATTGTGATCGGCAGCTAATTAATCTCGCCGCCCATTCCCACACAGCTTTCGCGCGAACGGGCCTAAGATCCATCGGAAAATGGATCTGGCCCAGTATCCGGTATTGCCCCGGGGAAGTCCCGACGATCCGCTGGCCGATCCCTTCGATGATCCCTCCTATAGCTTCAGCTTTCGCACGCCGGATCAGTCGCGAAGCGAGGAGAATGACTCTGGAAATAGGATCAGGGGTGAGCTTTAAAATTGGATATCAAATCATCATTCTATATTATATATATTCCCATTCCTTTCAGGTCTTTACTCCTACCTAGATGACGTGGGTGAGCGTCACAGTGTGCGCTATGCCGCTGAAGCAGGCACCGGCTTCGAGATCTCCAATGCCGTGCCAGACTCTCCCTCCAGCGTGGCCTACTCCAGTCCCTTGTACAAGTCGCATCCCAAGACCCGCGGCAAGATGGCCGTGCAACGCGGTCCCGCTGGTAGCTACAAGCTGATCGCCTCCGGCCCGGATCACCGGAGGGCAGAGAGCCGTGCTCCGGATGGCCTTGTGAGGGGCACTTACTCCTTCCTGGACGACAAGGGCGTGCAGAGGACAGTGGAGTACATAGCGGGAGCCGGCATTGGCTACCGGGTGGTGCACAACCGCATTGGTCCCGGCACTCACATCAATCCCTCCGTGGCCGATTTCCGCCTTGCTGATCCGGACTTCCGCCTGGCCAATGACTTTGGCCGAGGCGCTGGCGGTGGCCTGGGCCCCAAGCCAGGCGGTGGTGGTGGTGGATCCGGTGCATCAAGTGGCTCAGGTGCATCGGGTGGAGGTGGAGGCAGGGGTCGCACTCCTGGCAGGCCAGGTGGCACGGATTACCTTAAGCCGAGTAGCGCGGGCGGAGGCAGAGATCAGGGCGAAGGAGGAGCTGGACCAGGGGATAATGAGCTCGGTTCGAGTGGTGACAATGGAGATGAGGACATCGGATTGAGCAGCAGCTCCAGTGGTTCCACCCTGGTGCACGGCAAGGAGGATCGCAGGGGATACCCAGCAGGCAGCTCCCAGAGGGGCAGCACCAGATACGATGGTGGTGGTGGTGGCGGCAACACTGAGAGAGGCGGTGGCGGCTCCACTAGGATAAATGCTAGTGGCACAAGAAATAGGAACCGTTTCAGTGGCGGCAACAGAGGCAGTGGCTCCGCCGAAAGGGGAGGAGTTGGAGCCGGTAGCTCCGGTGGCTCAGGTGGCATAAGAGGAGGCGGTGGCAGCAGTCGCCGGGGAGGAGGAGGAGGAACTTCCAGCTCCTCCGAGGGCGACTCTGGCCTGGGTTACCTGCCACCCGCTGGTGGCGGGGGATCAGGCACTAGTGCCATCAGCGGACCCGGAGACAACTACCACCTCAACGACGATGATGTAGGCAGCTCACTGCCTCCGCTGGTCACCGCCAACCACCGCATCCTGGAGATCGATCGGGATCGAGAGTGGGTCCAAAGGCACCGCGACTCCACGGTCATCAAGAACGTGGGCAAGTGGTATGTGGGCCTGCCACCTGGCCAGAGTGTTCGTGCCCATGTCCAGAACATAGACATAGTGCCGCTGGGCGGAAGGATCGGACTCTCCCCATCGGAGGCTCTGCGCCAGGACGAGATCGCCGAGCTTAGTGCCTCCAGGGAGCATTGATGGGAACCCCCGTATAGCTTTTAGTGCCTAGCTCTAAGTGATCATTCAATGTGTTGGGCAACCGAAACTGGGTTGACTCAACGTGGAAACTGTAACAGTATTTAAAGCGGAATACAATCTATATCTGTAGCTGTATCTGTATCTGTATCTTTAAATCTGTAGCTGATTGTGGTCATGTGATATCCGTGGAGGCTGCTTTGAGCAGGTTGGGCTGCAGATTGCGGTTTTCTTCGATCTGCATATAACCAAAGGTCTCTGCCTGCCAAGCGTTTAGTTTGTCTTTGAAGCCGGCAACAAGATGCTGCTGCTCCTCTGGACTGGATTGCTAGGAGTTTCCTTTGCTCGGGGAGCTCAGGTTTATATGGAGTTCAATGGAAATCGGTACTCGTACAACACGGATGGCGATCACCTGGACCGGAGTGTCCACCTGCCCAACTATGAAGCAGCGGCTCCAAGTTCTTCTCCTTTAAACTCCCTGAGTTCCCTGCAGTTTGTGCAGCAGGCTTTTCAAAACAGGCAGCCTAGGATCTCACACCTGGACACATCTTCTCTAACTGGCGGTTATCTTACTGCTTCCAATCCACCTGCAAATCATCATCCCATGCCGGGTCGCCAGAACTTTGATTTTAGCACTCACCAGATGGCTCATGCCCAGCACACGGATGAGGCTGGTAATGTCCTGGGCAAGTACTCCTACTACGATGAGGCTGGCTACCACGAGCTCAGCTACAAGGCAGGCGCCGGCATCGGATTCGTGGTCATGGGTGGCAACTTGGCCAAGGCCACCAGCACCGCCGCTGTGGAGCCGCACTCGGAAATCGCAATCGGAAACGGAATCCAAGCAAATGCCTTGACAAGCTTGCAAGAGTTGCATAAATATCGTGGTTACGCGTAAATAAACAAATTAGTTCGAACTACTTGCGGTTGCTTCTTCTACTTGGGTGTTATGTCACTGGAGTTGGAACGATTTTGAGATCCAAAACAGTGTGTCAGCTGTCATGTCGGAACATCTACGTGATTGGGGAGTAAAATCTATCTACTATATATCAACAATCTAAGGAAGACTAAGAATGAGGGGCTTAAGGTTGACTAAAGTGCTTTTATAGGGTAAATCAAGTGTAGACAAAAGTATTTCCAAAAGAAGGGCATCTGGATTATGTTTGTAAACAACATCTAGTTTGTAGGAAAACTTTAAAGGGAAAGGTAAATTAAGTTTAAATTTAATGACACTATGTCAAGTGTTGATTTGTGAAAGCTTGAGCTATATTTATTTATTGCAGAAATTTCACTAAATCTCACTTTTTAACGCTTAAAATAAAGTCAGATAAGACATTAGCTCAGGCTACAAGCATAAGTGAAGGTATAGCAGTCCATACCTGAACTTATTTACTTTGTATTATAATTTGTAGGAACTGGAATTAAGGAAATTTAAATTGAATACAAATATTGTACTGAAACTTAAAATACTAAGAAACGATGACCTATAATTCAAGAAAATTTAAACTAAATTAGAGGTACATATATGTACATAGGTTGTATACGATATTTAATTGAATCACATTAAAAATTGACGAAAGGAAAACATTGGCAGTTGACGAGCGTAAATGATTGTAATAGCTTCAATTTGTTTGTGGCGCGTGCTTTGGCTTAGGACAACCAGTACGATTTATGCATTTTTTAATGCCTAATTGGTTTTCCGCTCATAAAAAATGCTAGTGCATCCCAAAGCTCAAATTGAGTCAGCTCTGGTTTTTATTTATTTTTATTTTGGGCCATTTCTTGTCGGAAAGCGACCAAGAAATAATACACACATTTGAAATGTTCGACGCGTGCGCGCACTTGCCAAATAATTTGAATCGAACGGAAAGCCTTGGCGGGTGCCTCGTGGCCTAAATAAAAATTATATACATTTACCAAGCAAGACAAGGAAAAGCCCAAGTCCAAGCCTGAATATTATAATGGCCAAAAATATGATATGATTCGAAAAGAGGCCTCTGTTCCAACGAAAGTTTCACTGCCGCAATTGGATTTGATGTCACGAGAGATCTAAGCGGTTAATTTCCATTAAACAAGTTCCTACGCACTCCGCAACTTTCTTCGGAGAATGCAGTGAATGTACAGAAAAGGCACTAAAACCCAGTGCCAGCCAGCTGACATAGATTCTATTAGGGCTCACTCACAGAGAAACCACTGGCCACGTTCTCAGCACTGCCTCCTCCTCCAGCTGGGAAATGCAGCCGCTGTGTGGTGCATAATTGGGTTAGCCTGGCAGCAGCATTGGAACCACAAATTACCAGGCGGGTGAGGGTGGGGTTGGGGCACAGTCCCAGGTGCCAGTTACCCGTTGTTTCAGCCAGATAAACAACGGTTCTGGCTGGGATTCTGCCTGCCCCGGCGAAGGTCAGGCTTAATTGGCCCGATCGGAACGACATCCCACCACCGGCAGTCCCGTTCGCCAGCATTTTATAAATAGGTCTCAAGGTCTCCAAGTCTCCCCAGCTCCAGCTCCAGCTCCAGCTTCTCCTCCTCCTCTGCTGTGGTTCGATTTATCGCCTTTTGATGGCTGCATTCCAATTGTGTATCTGGTGGTGCGTGTGGCGCATTTGGGTTTCGGTTTGGGTTTACAACGTGTTGCTACTAATTTCGTATGCTCCCTCCGGCTGAAACCATAAATCTTGTGGCAATTTTATGGATACCTGACTGCGTGTGCCACAAAGGTCGCCCCGCCCAATCGGAATCCTGGTTAATCAAGAAATATGCATTATTATTGCCCGCACTTAAGCCTGCCCCCATCGTTCTCTACAACTTCAGTAGCTGGCAGGCTGGCGCGTCTGAAAACCAATAAAGGAATAAATTGCAATCGGATCAGCGGGATATAGAGGTGAGTTTCGGGGGGCGTGTCTTTTCCCTAGGGTATACATATATGAAAATTAATGGCTCTAGGCTAATAAAGGTTCTGCTTCTGACACACAAAACAAATGACTTGGAGCACGAACGCGGGCAGGAAATCAATTCAAATAAAGACTTTGACTCAGAACACGAACTCTTTCTCACAGAAAGAGAGAGGAAATCCATGCGTTTGTAATTTAATTTATGATTTAAATTCAAAAATAGCCTGAGGCTCCGCTGTAATCCTGACATCTGCTGATACCCGAGAAGTGTGTGAAGTCTTCACGCCGAATTGCCTGTCAGAATTGGAATCGGAATCGAAAGAACACCAAGAACCTGATCTGAAACTTTCTAAAGCGTTTCAGGCAAACATTTTAATTGAATTGCCGAAACAGTCCCATACAATTCATTCATAAGTCTCTTAACATTTTGGCTTATGTCATGTTTGAGATTCGTTCCGAGCTGATTACCAGCTCGCTTCCCACACGCATTTTTGTATTCGCTTGCCACTTGTAATGGTCAGTCAGCGAGTCACAGTCAATCAAGCCAATAAACGGTCAATTAATCAACGTCACCTCTGTGATTCCTATGTTCTAGCTGCTGTGTTAGATGGCAAAAAATGAACAAAAACAGTAGCGTGAAGAAGCCTCTGTCAGCACAATGTCCAACAAGTTTCAATTCAGGCTACAAAAAAGTGCGAGCAAATATTTCCCGCATGCAAAACCATTAACGTAGCTCTGGAGGGGTGGAAGGGTAGATTTCAATCTACGAAATCCTAGAGTTGGAAGCCTGAATATCAATTGGCGCTGGGACCCAGAGCTGGTGGTATCCCCCAATCCCACAGTGATGCACGAGCCTAGATAAAAAAGGCCGGGCCAAGGCAAAGCCCTCGGGTTTCTCTTCCAATCTCTTCCACTCTTTCGCTTTACTTGACTTTACTTGGCTCCGAAAGCCCAATTCTCTTACACACCTGATTCGGGCCCTGTTTTCTTGGCCATTTCTCTGCCCGCCGTCGTCGTTTGCATCGCTAATGGAAATGTTATAAACAGAGGCGCTGGGCCCGGCCACCACTCAGTTCATCTTCAGTCGTCGTCTGGCTCGCTGGCTCTTGGTTCTTGAGTGGTAGGAGTTCCAGTTCCAGTCCTAGGCATTGTGTGTGTGACAAAGAAATATATTAAAAGAATACAAAAACAAGGACAGACCTGAAACAATCGTAAATTTAAAGCTCAGCAGGATTGGCCTGTGGTGAAACCGTGTGTGTGTGTTCTGCCGCGAAAGATATAAGCCTTCGTGTCACTTATTCCGTTTCTCGTTCGCAGTTCAAGGATACATTTTCAGGATTGGTCGCAGCCAAGAATTTAACGGAAATTCATATTCACAGGCCCTAAAATGCGCTTCTTCGTTGTAAGTAAAAAAACGAAAAGAAGAGAAAATTAATTCTTGATACACTTGAAACTGAAACTACGGTGGGAATTTGAAACGAAACTAGTTTATGCCTGACCGCAATTAATCATTTATTGCTCTCTGTGCTGCCGTTGAACTCATTAACTCGTCCACTGGCCCAAGTTCGTGCCTTAAGTCTTTCGTTTCTTTCACTTCTGAATTGAAATGAACTTTCACTAAGCGACATTTTTGGTTCTTTCCTCGATTCTTGGCCAAGGAAATTAGCCTTAATTATGCTCTGTGCCATATGCAAATATTATTAATTTAGCTAAAATCTTTTTTCGTCTTTTTTAATAATCAGAAAGCAATCTGTATGCTAAGAAGTATGTATATTAGGATTCTTAGTCATGCCAGAAGTTTAAAGATGCTTTGTAAATGGTATTGTTTCCTTTATAAAGAGGTAAATGTTCAAAAGGCCTTTAGACTGAGGCTTAAAAGGGACGTAAAAGTGAAAACCATTTTGGGGTGAACGTGACAATATTCTAGCCCCTCCTCAATTTAAAAAAAGTGAGAATGATTCATGTACACCCTTGTCCAGGTTATTCCTTGCATTATTCATTAAGCCTTACACGCCCTTAAATATCGAAAAGCGTCAAAACCCGGCTCAAAAGAAACCCATTCAATTCAATTATGGCCAAAAACCAATACAAACACTTCCAATAAAAAGCCCAATTTAATTATGACTCGAAGAACATAAAATTAATATGCCGTAAACGTATCGAAATCATGCGTGGGCTAACAAATGGCAATTAAAATCTTCTTTCTGGACAGAACAATCGTTACCAATTGTGTGTGGGGCTTAAAGAACTGGCTCGACCCCAAGATCAATAAACTAGAAGTGCATTGATATGTTATGTTTTCTTTCGATTTTGATGGTGGTTCATAAATTGTTAAATTCATTGGATCGTTATCCCACACGTCCCAGCCCATGAAGTCCATCAATCGTGGCTCAATTAGCCTCAGAATACCATTGGGAAGCGAAGAGAGACACCTGAGAACGACCCGGCCCGACCAGACCCACTTACATCTTGTTTGAGAACATAAAATGCTGCGCTTAAACTTTGCATTCGAAGCCATTAACCCAGTTTATTTTTGGAGAAGCCACACCCGATCCGGGGTCTCGTTATGGCCATTCGGAACAAATACATATAATAAATAAATAAATAAGGTAAACAGACAAAAGAAAGCGGACATAAATACATCTCGCTGGATGCAAGAGTCTTCTTGCAAATCAATGACAACCCAGGTTCGACAGCCTCTCGTTGGCCAGAACGCTTTTCGAGTTATGCTTTTGGCCCGGAATCGTAACAGAGCCGCCTAGAGGTTCAGGTCAATGACACAACACGAGCCCCAGCTTTGGCTTCAGCCTCAGCTTCAGCTCCAGCTCCAGCTGGTCTTGAGTTCCCGGCTTAGTGACATTTCTGCCGTGATAGATGGGCGTTCTGGGCGATGCTGGCTAACGGTTGCGTCAATATTGACTTTGCCAAATGCCCCCCAATCGAATCCCCCGGGGAGCTGGCGAGAGTGAGTCAAATATTTACCGATCGTGAGGTTCTTGACAATCATGTTGGGTACTTCAGATACATATACTCTTTTGGTAGAGCCAGCAGTTCTGGCTGTGTCTCTGTCTCTGGGCTGGGGTTGGGCTTTTACTTTTCGAAGAAATTATGCAAATGCTGTGCGGTGACAGCTCCTTTCAGCAAAAGATAGACTTTCGCGAGGGAGTTGACCGCATTCCATGTACGAGTTTTATTGTATATATTACGGCATCGGAATACTGAGATTTATGATCTATAAAAAGTGTGCTATAAGCAACCAAAATTAATTCAATTCAATGTTTATAAAGCTTCTCTTAAGATGCCATATAATTATATATCTATATCTAATCCCCAACCTACTGTATCTTTCAGCTATCTTCGCTCCTTTTGGCCTCGTTGGCCCTTAGCCAGGCACAGTCCGCTGGCGTCGAGTAAGTAGTGCCATAAATAGTCCCTGTCCTAAGACCGATTAACCCTTTAAGTAACACGTTTTGCCTGCCTGTGACCAGTGACCAGTGACTGTGTCAATGCTAATGCTCATTCCAAGTAGAAGTTGATGCGCTCGCCTAGAAATTTGTGACTAAAACCGAAAGCCCCCGACTTGTGACTAACCCTAAATCATGATCCCTCCCACAAAATATCTAATACCCAACCTGACCATGCATTAGCCTTAGTTCCTAGAAGCTAGAGAGACCACCAAAAAACAACCCACTTTCGTTTGCAGAATTCAGAGGCAGCGCCTGGTCAAGTTTCCCGAGGAGTTTGAGGCCAATGCGGCGCCTCCCGCCTCGGAGAAAGCGGACGAGGCCAAGCGCATCCTCGAGCAGATAGCCAAGGTGAACGAGGCCTTTGGCTATGTGAAGAAGCAGCCGGAGCAGCCCAAGCTGCCGCCAATCCTCGACTCCAGCCAGTATCTGTTCCCCAAGCCGGCGCAGCAACCCTTCCACGCCCATCAGCACCACTTTTCCGGAAGCAATGGCCAGACCCTGCTAGAGCCCTCAATTCGCGCCGTGAAGCTCACAAGGAATGTGGTCCCAGTAAACTATAATGTGCCGCCTAGATTGCGACAGGGACAGGATAATGCACCAACCAAAGAGTTGGAGAAGAAGCAGGAGGAGAAGCAGGAGCAGCTATACTTCCGACCCAACCAAGTGGAGCTACCCAAGCCCAGTACGCCACAGGAGGCACAACAACTACCCGCCCATTTTGTGATCCCCGTGCACCTCTACAAACTGAACAAGGAACAGTACCTCAAGGAGCATGCTCCCCAGGAGTACCGGGTCAAGGGCTACAAGATCGTGGGTGATGTGGACAGCTTCTATGGAAAGGCCAAATCTGCAAAGGCAAAGCAGAGTAAGACCACGCCCAAGTACCATCTCTTCTTCCTGCCCCGTGAACTGGCTCTCAACGAGGATGGGACTCCCAAAAGGGGTAACTCTACCACAACAACGACCACCCGTGTTCCTGCTTCGCCTCTGAGCTTCAAAGAATCTCGCTTGGAATCCCGCGAGAAGCTAATGCATAAGCCCCAGAAGATTCAGCCCAGCTCGGCTCCTGAATTGATCAATCTGAACCGCAAGAAAGTCGGCTCCACACCGAAGCCAGTGCGTTTAAGTGGCAAGGAAGCTGAACAGCAAGTGCTTCAGGGATCTGTATCGGTATCTGGAAAGGCCACACCTGCTCCTGCTGCCCTTAGCTCAACGCTGCCACCTTCCGGTGGCCTCCTGCCCAACAATAATCGCTTGAATCCCTTCCGCATGCCCGGCATGAACATTGCTGAAATGCAGAATCAGACCTCAACGGCCATCAAGAATGCCTTCCAGAATATATTCAAGCTTCCATTCCGACCAGCGATGGCATCTTCGCCGGGATCGGGTCCCGTCATTGTGGGCAGTATTCCCCAGAAGAATCAGGGTCTCGATTCCATGGACTACAAGTGGGACGATGACAACGAGGGCGGTGGCGATGGCATGTCGGATGATCTGGACACCATGGAGAACACAGCGGCTGAGCTGCAGGATAGTAGTGCCTCCTCGGAGAAGCACCTGTTCCCGCACAGGACACATAACCTGGTTCATGCCGTTGGTCAGGTGGCCACCGCCCAGCAGAGCACCCAGAAGCAAGCGTTGCGTGAGGGAGGAATCATCATCCAGAGGCTGAAGGTGCGCAAGGGAGGCATTGCGATTGCAGGACCAGGAGGTGTGGCCACCGCTGGCAGTGGCGGCACAGCGATCGTGGGTCCTGGGGGCTATGCTCTCACCCATCCGCGAAGCCTCACCATTGCAGGACCGGGAGCCAAAGTGATCTCCATACCGGCCAATGTGGACCTTAAGGATGCACTAGCACGCACAGATCTGGAGGCGAGGAGTTTTCCGTTGGAGGGTAAAGTGGTGGCCACCGGACCGACGGTCTACTATGCTCCGCCCACGGCAACCATGGAGGAGGAGGAGGAGGAACAGCAGGAGCAGAGAGGGTTTTGAGTCTGAGGCTTGACCAGATTAGTTAGGAAAAGTAGTTGGTATTGTCTAGTGTTCTAATAAATGTTTGTATTTCCCAGATCTTTGTGCTTTGTGCTTTCATCTGTAGATGTATATAGTAGCTATAACCTGGTGACTGATCCTCATGGATCCCCCAATTCCCTGGCATGTCATATTAACCCATTAATCGGATTTGCTATAATTTCCTCCCACAAACTAACCCTAATCTTCTTGCTGTAAATATTATCGGACTAACCGGCGGCTCTTTCTCCACCATCTTCCTCCCTATGCTTTCCCTTAAACACTATCCTAACCCAAGTGCCTACTGGCGCACCACCAACCTCGAGGCCTGGCCACCGGAGGCCCATGGAAAGCTGCTCCAAGGATCCCAGCTCACGCCCTACGGTGCCTTCCAGCCCGTGCTGCTGAATGCGCCCATCTATGCTTCCCCCCTGGCCTATGTGCTCCAACCCACCACGATCCCAGCAGCCCCCACAGCCGATGCTACAACCGCCAATCCCACCAGCAGCAAGGAAAGCTTAGCCGATGATAGCTTCAGCGAGTTGGAGAAGCCGGAAAAGTTGCAAGAAGCACCAGCAACAGAGAAGACACGAACCAGCGGCGATCTCAAAAGCGATTCGGGTCTCCGCTCTGCGATCAGCAAAATAAATCCCAACTATGTGATTGAGGAGATCGTCTCTGTGCCCGGCAAGCTTGTGATCTCCACCTCCGCCTCGGGAGAAGCTCTCCGGAGTGGTAAACTTCGCTCTGCCAAGTTTTCCAAGAAGATTGCTCCCCAGAAACTTAGAAAGCAAGCGATGAATGGAGTGACTCCCCCGAAAGTTGTGGCCACGGGAAGGACTAGTACCAATGCTGCCAACTTCCCGCAGATTCCCTTTGGCACCTATTTCCTGCCCTATCAGGCTGGACAGCTGCAGGGACGCAAGCAGGCAGCCCTTATCCTGGAACCACACTCCAAGGCTGTGGTGGGAAATGGTGGCACCGCCATCTCCACACCCATCTCGAAGGCGTATCTGAAGAAGGGAGTGCCCACGAATGTCTACTTCAATCCGGAGTCGGTGGCCATAGCGGGTGTGGGTGGCAAGGCGCACGCTACGGCGGATCTGGAGCTGGATCTGTTCACGTAGAGGAGCAGGATATGCCGGGAGGTCAACTAAGTTAACATAAAAATCATTTTCAGTGACTGATTTCTTAGCTGGATTGTGAGGTATTAGGGTTTATTTTTTCTTTATAATTTTTAAATTATGTAAATCTTAAATATTCTTCTTGCTCTTCCAGAAACTTCTTTAAAATTTAATTTTTTTTGTTTTAAAAATAGATCACAGTGGATTTATAATTTTTAAACGACATTTCATATTCTCCTTAAGATAAAGTTGATCTTCAACTTTCTGTAGTTTTCTATGACAATTGTTTTATAAAGAACAAACTAAAGTTTATTGATAAAAAAGCCCTTAGTCCTTATCACCAACAATCCACCAAAGAAATCAGGTCCTGAAGCTCCATCGTATTTTTTAGCAAAAACCCAAGTGAAGCTCATCCGAATGGGTAGTTCCTTTCTCCCAACTTTCCCCATGTTCCTATGTTAAGAACAGAGGCCTTTAAGAACGTGTCATTTCGTAGATTGTAAATAAAGTTAAACGTAAACTGTACAGCTTCCGCCTTTGGGTCACCAAGTAGTACGCTAATCCCTTGTAGATAAATTCCGATGCTTTCGCCACATCCCTGCTCCCAGCTTTATCCAGGCAATCCTCCACATTCCAATGCACTCTCTCTATATAAATACATCTATATGAACCCCAAAAAGCAGACACAGATCGAGGGCGGCTCCGCTGGTCTTCGAGGAGCATCCCTACTATGGCGGCCTGAGGGGTCAGCTCCTGCAGCTCCGTCCACAACGGGACGGCAGTGTGGGCAGCTTCATCCTGCAGCGCCAGCAGCCGCAGGTTAGGGCTGTTACCAGGGACTCCGACGACACCATCACCATCTCCGCGGCCAGCATATCGGCCATTGCCGATGGAAGTTCGGGATCTAGCAGCACCAGCTCCAGCTCAATCTCGGCCAGCGCCAGTGACTTCAACCGAATTCAACTGGCCGCCGCTCGCCTGGTGGCCATTCAGGAGTTGGCCAAGAGGAAGGGTTCCTTCAGCGAGGAGGACAACAAGGTCTATGCCAGCAGCCTGCTGGAACTCGGTCAGGCAGCCCAGAGCTTGGCTCTGCTCCAGCAGACCGGTCAGATCAAGGACTTCAGTGTCCTGTTGCAGCCGGATCTCTTCGCCATTCCCCAGAAGCAACCCTCGAACTTTGGCTTGGAGGCCAGCAGTGGTAATAATCCAGCGGACCAGAAGATCGATGAGCAGAAACTGGATGAGGTCACCGAGCAGCAGTTCTCGCCGGATGAGCAGTTCCTGCCGCCCAACAGCGAGGATCCCTACGAGGATGTCAACGACAGTGTCGCCGTGATGGCTCCCAAGAAGGATGCCGCAGTGGCCGAGGCCAAGCCAGTGGGTGAGTTTCGAGGGATACTTGGAAATATTTAAAAAAAATCTTAATGAATGAATCCTCTTCAGGTCTCTCGATTGCCGGCGAGGGTGGCGTAGCCTCCTCGAAGCCAAATGCCGTGGCTCTTTCCGGCAGGAATGGCTTGGCCGTTGCCTCACCCAAGGCCACCGCAATTGCTGGCGTTTCCCCGGAAGAGGCAGCTGCCTTCAGCATCTCTCTGCCCACTCGCAACCAGCTGGTGATCAAGAGCCCCAACTCCGCATCTGAGAAGGCCAGTGATGACTACGATTACAACGATGTACCTTTGACCATGGCCCGCTTCCCGTTGACCCGCGAAACCCCGCAGCAGCTTGTCCCTGTTCGAATTTCTGGAGGAGATGCTCTCGTGGATCGGTGGCGCACTGCAATTGCCGAGGATTATGCTGCCCGTCAGGCTCAGGCCAAGGTGGCCATGGCCATGGCTTCACCAACACCCTACATTCGAATGGGCCCTAAGCGACGCCTGCACTCGGAATAAGGATTGGACCAGGATAATACTCTTTCGAACGCAATGAGATTCATAATATACGTTGTACAACATTTTGTGTGCCAGCTACCGAATTGCCAATAAATTATATACATATATTTAAATGCATACAAATTGTTTTATTTATACTACAGTGATACTATATTTATCCTCTTAATATATTGCTATAATGACTTTTAACTTCTCTTAAGCATCGAATCCAATTAAAATCTTTAAGTGACACTAAACAACAATGTCAACCATCCCGAGAGAGGGCAATGAACTGGAAATATCCATCGCTTGTCATCAGAGACGATCAGAAATAGCCAACAAATATGGCCAAGATCATGTAGAGATTGTCACAGAAAGGCAGGACCAGGAGGCGATGCATCTAATTGCTGCGGGAAGTGATTATAGTTTATAACGAAAATACATTTATTTATGCGATTGCCGACTGAATGCAAGCATGTGCAAATCTTGATTAATCTTTTCCGCCAGGCCAGGCGGCATGGAAATAAATTATCTAAGCGGGGAGCGGACGTTGGCTGGAGGGGATCTGTGTGCCTGTGCCCGGCCAGAATGCATTCAATTTGCACCTGAACCAGTTGGCCGCGTCAATGCGGCTTCAATGCAATCTCCCAAGCTGCGCTTGACTTCTATTACGCGGCAGGTTTAACAAACTCGAGTGGCTTTAAAGCCTAAGAACTTGGCCGAGACCGAGACCGAGACCAAGACCGAGACCGCATCTTCGTTGACCATCTGCCATCTGCAACAGCGAACCTGAAACCAGTACCTGTAGCAGTACCAGTACTAGTACTTGTACCACAGTTTATCTGCAGCCAGCTCCTCCTTTTGGCCATCGGCCATTCCCTACCTCCTCGGATGGCTGTTGTCTTCCCGCGGGAAGCTGGGCATTTCCAGTTCTATCAGTTCTTCGCTCGGTGGGGCTGCAAGCTCTTTGTTCTTGGGATAGGTCAGGGCGAGGGGCCCGGGTCCCATGGTCGCACATTATAAAAGGCCATGGTTGGGCAGCGTTGGCCACCAGTTTCCTTGAAGTGGTCGCCGTGTCAGCACTGAAGACTGAAGACTGAAGCCATACTGCGAAGACGAAGACTGCTGTGCCAAGACTGTCTAGTGATAATTTAGATTCTTCTCTTCTCGAGGGAATCGCGCGGATCGTGTGGCCATCAAAGAGCTCTGTGTCGACTCGAATTACCTGCCTAGATTTGGGAAAGCAGTGAAAGGCCATCTCAGCCACAACTAAAAGGTAAGTCTACCTTCCGAATTGTTCCCAATTTGAGTTCTAACTTTACATTTACGTTCGCTTCGAGGCGAGAAAGTTATCTAGCCGAGTCTTGGGTCTGATTGCGGCTCAATTTCAACTGGTTTGGGTAGATCTTAAATTTCTGTTACTGTGTCACAAAGGAAAGGTTCTTATAAGAACAGAAAACCAGCTTTAATTAAAATTTAAAAGAGAAAAGTGATTATTCTGGACCATTTAGTTACAAAAAAGAAAGAATATTTCTTTGTAGAAAGTCTCTTAAACGCATTGGTTAACAAAAGGAATTGCCTTTTGCTAATTTAATATAATAATAAGAATAAAGGGAATGTTAGGGATTATTACTATTTAAATATAAGCTGATATGAGCTAATTTATTTTGATATTTCATATTACAATGCACAAATATCATATAGAAATATTACAATGCCGTTGAACATTAATAAAAAGAATTAGGATTATGAGTAGTGCCAAAGTATTTTAATTTCATAATAAAATATTTCCTTAAGGAAAGTTTACAAAAGTTTACACATTGAATTCTTTAAAAAATTACAGTTCTAAGTATATAAAATTGTAGCAAAATATATGAGAATATTCCCATTTTAACCATAATTATAAGTTTTATAATCTTAAATAAGATTCTTAAAGTTCTTTATTATCTAAGCTTATGGTTGATCAAATTTAGTTAGTGCAGATTTTAAGTACACTCCATATAGGAAGAAAACTTCTAGAACTTTTCAAGCCTTCTTCCCAAGTGAGCACAAAACGAAAGACTTAGGCAACGAACTTGGTTAGCACTTAGACCACACAAAGAACATTCTTGGGGATGTGGAGTGGGGTTCCACGGCGACAACAAACTTGACTATCAAGTACCGATTTAAGCCATAAAGCTGCTCGCAGTCATTAGCCAGTATCTACACTAGAAGTGCTTCACGAAGAAGCTCCAATGGCCGGGGGCCAATCAATTGCAAACCGGTTGATAGCCACTCGATTCATGTATAATAGTGCACACTCGTTGCAAGGAGCATCCTGTCCGGCCAGGCAACATGCAACATGCAACATGCAATTACACACGGACGCACACACTTCCATCGAATAACGTTAAATTTAGAATGGACTTTGGTGCAGTGGCAGGAGCGTGGCTAAAAATAAACCCACGACTAGACCAGTTTGTCGGGAAAAAGTTACACAAAGAATAAAACAAAATGGTTTAATAAAGCCACTATTTTGGAGGCTTCTTTCTCAATTGTTTTCGAAACTTAATTGCTTAAGCAAAGCATCCTTGAAGGAGTTACAAATTTATTTCTAAATCTTACTTAATTTATTAACTTGAAACCTAGTCTAAATGCAAATACCAAAGAATTCCATTTAAATAAATAAGTTAAATTAGCATACTTCTTTTTAATAATTATTTACTTAAGTATATAAAAAGTTATTATAATTATAATATAATAATAAAAAACAATTAAATTATAATAAAACATAATATAATAATATTCATATGACCAATCATAGTTTAAAAAACTCATAACTAAGCCAAAAAAATCATAAATTTTAATTTGGAAGCTCTTCTATGCTAGTTTTTATTAGGTTTTTATTTTTATTAGGTTAACAAATCTGCATACTCAGTTTTCAAATTTAAAAAATTCATTTTTTCGTAGATTTTTGAAAAAAAAAGAACGATGGAACCCCTTATCAAATTTTCAAAATTTTGACAAACCTTGGAAAATTTTTTTTTTTTTAAAACATGCCTAGATAGATTGTCTTGTTGATTCTGATCTAGAATATATATGATTTATAAGATCGTAAATGATTCCTTCACTCGGTTCAATCTTCTGACTGAAATTATACTTTACAAAAAAGGTATAAAAACAGACAATTTCATTGAAAAATCAATGTTTTTCAAACATAATAATTAAGTTTAAATAGCATTTATATCATTTTTATGTGGAAAGCCTTTCTGTACTAGTTATTCTAGCACAAAGAAATCTGCATACTGCGTTTGTTGATGCAATCTTTTGTATCTTACTAAATTTATAATAGCCTGGAAGAAGGTATGAAAACAGACATTTTTTCAAAAAATCATAGTTTATAAAACTCGTAACTAAGCTAAAAAAATCATTAATTAAAAGCTTTTCTATGCTCGTTTTTCCTAGATTATCATATCTGCATAATAATATTTCAGTAAATGAAATTCAAATGAAAACTTCAACCTCACCCTTTTGCAGAATGTTCCTCCTAGCGGCCTTTTGCTTGGCCCTGGCAGCAGTGAGCGGCCAGGCCAGGCCCCTGGAGCCGTCGGCGCAGCACATAGTGATCGTGACCCCTCAGGCGCAGGTGCACCTGGAGCCAGCCCTTCGTTATGTCCATGGCCTGTCGCCACTGGCTCGTGTGGCCACACCGCATCATCATGAGGAGACCATTGTGTATGTGCCCGCCGGAGCTGCTGCCCAGGTGGTGCCAGTGCTGGATGCAGTGGGCTCGGGGCGGGCTGGAGGAGCAGCCGGCCAGCCGGAAACAAAGCAGTGGGAGAACACGGGCGAGATTATCAACCAGATCCAGCAGGCCTCTATGCAAGGCGTTGAGATTGCCAGCGGCCAGTTGAGCGAGGGAGCACAAAATGCTGCCAGTGCCGGAGCAGGCTTCTTCCCGGCCCTGTTCCCTCCATCTGGCTCCAAGAAGGAGAATGCGCTGCAGCAGGGTCTAAAGACTGAAAAGATTGAGCTGATTGAGACGCCGGCCAACACCCAGCCCCTGATAGCCACCGAAGCCCGGCACTTCTACACCATTCCGCAGGTGTATCATACTCCGGTGGTGGATGTGGTCCACGCACCGGTCTACTCCTGGCCCATTCCCGCCATCCGGGCCCGCAGCATCCAGGAGCCTGTGTTGGAGCAGCAACAGCAGCAGCAGCAGCAGGAACAGGCACCTGCTGAACCGGCTCTGAAGCAGACTTTGAAGGCGGAACCGGAGTTGCAGGCGGAGATCCAGCCGGAACCGCAGCCACAGGCCTTGCTGAAGGAGCAGCCATTGCCTCTGCTGAAGGAGCAGCCTTTGCTGAAGGAGCAGCCATTGTTGAAGGAGCAGCCGCTGGAGCAGCAGCCCGCCCAGGATCAGACAAAACCGATCATTGCCAGCGAGCAAAAGTCGGAGTTTGCAGGACGTCTCCTGGAAAGCAATGCCATCAAGCAGGAGCTGCAGGGAGCCGAGATCACCAAGGAGCAGTTGAAGGAAGAGCGTAAGTATCTAATGGAATATCATTCCGATAATATTATTCTAAGCCACATGATACCTTTACAGCAGCCAAGGCCCAGCTTTCAGAGGAGCCGCTGATTAAGGCAATTCCTGCCGCTGAGCCTCTTCTGACCAAGACCATTCCGGCTGAGCCGATCCAGGCAGAGCAGCCAAAGCAGGAGCAGATCCAGCAGATCCAGCCGGCGCAGCCTGCCGAGATCATCGCAGATGCCATTTTGCCGCAGGCTTGATGCCTGGCCGCGGAACCAGAACTCTGAATCTCTGAATCTCACACATACCTTTGGGCAGCTTTGGTTCTTCGACTGACTCTCATCGCTGGCCCGGCGCCGCAGCAGACCGGGCCACGGGGTAACCCTCATCCTCGACCAGCCACAAACAGTACATTTAATTACTAACACGAGATACACACGCATCCGCACACATTTTCCATTTTCCAGCCATTAATTAACACAGAAGCGAAACGCGAAAAAGACATTCATTCATGCATAATTATCATCACGAGACACGTTCGTATTCATCATCATCATTACATATTCATTAACCATAACATTGAAAACGTAAAACAGAACAATAAAAAAGTGAATGTAAAATGTAGTAGGATGGGCGATGGAAATTCTTGAATCTCTGGATGGGAGGGATATAACTTGGGAACGTCATTATAAAGACTATATACTTTTAATCACCAGAGTAAAGGTATTTTAAAGAGGTTTCATAAGTATTTTTGATGAGGAAATCAATCTACTTTTATTTGACGTTTAATGAACTAAAGTTAATGACAAAACTTTCCTTGAGTTGTTGAACAGATTTATGTCGTTACAAGGTTTGTTGCAGGCTACAACAGGACCTAAATTTTTAGTTTTGGCAGTATAAATTTATAAAATGCATGGCTAGTAACATGCATAGAGAGCTTGTGAAGGAGTAGAGTTCGATGAACTATTTACGAGAATACAGAATTCCCTCTGCAAGGGTATAAGACCGCTAATATTATGATTTGTTTATACCCTTGCTAAGTATTTAATTGTAGTCAGTAGCTTGCAAATTCGTTAGTGCTATAAAAACAAGCACAGAAAAGCTTACCGAATAAAAATTAATTCTATTTAGACTTAAATATAATGATAGGAAAACATTGATTTTTCAATGAAATTGTCTGTTTTTATACCTTTTTGCAGAGTATAGTTTCAGTCAGCAGATTAAAACGCATATTCTTGATCAGCATCAACTGCCCAGTCGTTCTAGCCATTTCCGGTCAACAAATAAATTTTGACATTTTTCCGAAAATTGAAAATTTTATAAGGGGTTACATCATTAAAATTGCCAAAATTTGACAAAAATTGAATTTTTTTTAATTTGAAAACTGAGTATGCAGCTTTGTTAAACTACTAAAAATTAGCACAGAACAGCTTTCCGAATTAAAATTAATGATTTTTTGGCTTAGTTATGAGTTTTTTTAAACTATGATTTTTGGGAAAATTTGTCTGTTTTTATACCTTTTGCAGGTTATTATAATTTTAGTCAGAAACTTATAACAGCATTAACAAACGCAGTATGCAGATTTGTTAGTGCTATAAAAACTTGCACAGAAAGGCTTTCCGAATCAAAAATAATGCTGTTTGGCTTAATTATGATGTTCGGAAAACTCAGATTATTTAAGAAAATTGTCTGTTTTTATAACTTTTTGCAGAGTATAGTTTCAGTCAGAAGAATAAAACGCAGTGAAGGAGTTATTTCCGACCCTATAAACCATATATATTCTTGATCAGCATCAACTGCCCAATCGTTCTAGCCATGTCCAGTCAAAAAATAAATTTTGACATTTTTCCGAAAATTGAAAATTTTATAAGGGGTTACATCATTAAAATTGCCAAAATTGGACAAAAATTGAATTTTTTAAATTTGAATACTGAGTATGCAGCTTTGTTAATCTACTAAAAATTAGCATAGAACAGCTTTTCGAATTAAAATTAATGATTTTTGGCTTAGTTATGAGTTTTTTTAAACTATGATTTTGGGAAAATTTGTCTGTTTTTATACCTTTTTGCAGGTTACTATAATTTTAGTCAGAAACTTATAATAGCTTTAACAAACGCAGTCAGCAGATTTGTTAGTGCTATAAAAACTTGCACAGAAAAGCTTTCCGAATCAAAATTTATGCTGTTTTGGCTTAATTATGATGTTCGGAAAACTCAGATTATTTAAGAAAATTGTCTGTTTTTATACCTTTTTGCAGAGTATAGTTTCAGTCAGAAGAATAAAACGCAGTGAAGGAGTTATTTCCGACCCTATAAACCATATATATTCTTGATCAGCATCAACTGCCCAGTCGTTCTAGCCATGTCCAGTCAAAAAATAAATTTTTGACATTTTTCCGAAAATTGAAAATTTTATATCATTAAATCATTATCATTAAATTTGCCAAAATTTGACAAAAATTGAATTTTTTAAATTTGAAAACTGAGTATGCAGCTTTGTTAATCTACTAAAAAATTAGCATAGGACAGCTTTCCGAATTAAAATTAATGATTTTTGGCTTAGTTATGAGTTTTTAAACTATGATTTTGGGAAAATTTGTCTGTTTTTATACCTTTTTGCAGGTTACTATAATTTTAGTCAGAAACTTATAACAGCATTAACAAACGCAGTATGCAGATTGTTAGTACTATAAAAACTTGCACAGAAAAGCTTTCCGAATCAAAATTTATGCTGTTTTGGCTTAATTATGATGTTCGGAAAACTCAGATCATTTAAGAAAATTGTCTGTTTTTATACCTTTTTGCAGAGTATAGTTTCAGTCAGAAGATTAAAACGCAGTGAAGGAGTTATTTCCGACCCTATAAACCATATATATTCTTAATCGGCATCAACTGCCCAATCGTTCTAGCCATGTCCAGTCAAAAAATAAATTTTGAAATTTTTCCGAAAATTGAAAATTTATAAGGGTTACATCATTAAAATTGCCAAAATTGGACAAAAATTGAATTTTTTAAATTTGAATACTGAGTATGCAGCTTTGTTAATCTACTAAAAATTAGCATAGAACAGCTTTTCGAATTAAAATTAATGATTTTTGGCTTAGTTATGAGTTTTTTAAAGTATGATTTTTGGGAAAAATTGTCTGTTTTTATACCTTTTTGCAGGTTATTATAATTTTAGTCAGAAACTTATAACAGCATCGACAAAAGCAGTATGCAGATTTGTTAGTGCTATAAAAACTTGCACAGAAAAGCTTTCCGAATCAAAAATAATGCTGTTTTGGCTTAATTATAATGTTCGGAAAACTCAGATCATTTAAGAAAATTGTCTGTTTTAATACCTTTTTGCAGAGTATAGTTTCAGTCAGAAGATTAAAACGCAGTGAAGGAGTTATTTCCGACCCTATAAACCATATATATTCTTGATCGGCATCAACTGCCCAATCGTTCTAGCCATGTCCAGTCAAAAACTAAATTTTGACATTTTTCCGAAAATTGAACATTTTATAAGGGGTTACATCATTAAAATTACCAAAATTGGACAAAAATTGAATTTTTTAAATTTGAAAACTGAGTATGCAGCTTTGTTAATCTACTAAAAATTAGCATAGAACAGCTTTCCGAATGAAAATGAATGATTCTTTGGCTTAGTTATGAGTTTTTTTAAAGTAATATTTTGGGAAAATTTGTCTGTTTTTATACCTATTTGCAGGTTATTATAATTTTAGTCAGAAACTTATAACAGCATTAACAAACGCAGTATGCAGATTTGTTAGTGCTATAAAAACTTGCACAGAAAAGCTTTCCGAATCAAAATTTATGCTGTTTTGGCTTAATTATGATGTTCGGAAAACTCAGATTATTTAAGAAAATTGTCTGTTTTTATACCTTTTTGCAGAGTATAGTTTCAATCAGAAGAATAAAACGCAGTGAAGGAGTTATTTCCGACCCTATAAACCATATATATTCTTGATCAGCATCAACTGCCCAGTCGTTCTAGCCATGTTCGGTCAAAAAATAATTTTTGAAATTTTTCCGAAAATTGAAAATTTTATAAGGGTTACATCATTAAATTTGCCAAAATTTGACAAAAATTGAATTTTTAAATTTGAAAACTGAGTATGCAGCTTTGTTAATCTACTAAAAATTAGCTTAGAACAGCTTTCCGAATTAAAATTAAAGATTTTTTGGCTTAGTTATGAGTTTTTTAAACTATGATTTTGGGAAAAATTGTCTGTTTTTATACCTTCTTGCAGGTTACTATAATTTTAGTCAGAAACCTATAACAGCATTAACAAACGCAGTATGCAGATTTGTTAGTGCTATAAAAACTTGCACAGAAAAGCTTTCCGAATCAAAATTTATGCTGTTTTGGCTTAATTATGATGTTCGGAAAACTCAGATCATTTAAGAAAATTGTCTGTTTTTATACCTTTTTGCAGAGTATAGTTTCAGTCAGAAGATTAAAACGCAGTGAAGGAGTTATTTCCGACCCTATAAACCATATATATTCTTGATCAGCATCAACTGCCCAGTCGTTCTAGCCATGTCCAGTCAAAAAATAAATTTTTGACATTTTTCCGAAAATTGAAAATTTTATAAATTATCATTAAATTTGCCAAAATTTGACAAAAATTGAATTTTAAATTTGAAAACTGAGTATGCAGCTCTGTTAATCTACTAAAAATTAGCATAGAACAGCTTTCCGAATTAAAATTAATGATTTTTTGGCTTAGTTATGAGTTTTTTTAAACTATGATTTTGGGAAAAATTGTCTGTTTTATACCTTTTGCAGGTTACTATAATTTTAGTCAGAAACCTATAACAGCATTAACAAACGCAGTATGCAGATTTGTTAGTGCTATAAAAACTTGCACAGAAAAGCTTTCCGAATCAAAATTTATGCTGTTTTGGCTTAATTATGATGTTCGGAAAACTCAGATTATTTAAGAAAATTGTCTGTTTTTATACCTTTTTGCAGAGTATAGTTTCAATCAGAAGATTAAAACGCAGTGAAGGAGTTATTTCCGACCCTATAATCCATATATATTCTTGATCAGCATCAACTGCCCAGTCGTTCTAGCCATGTTCGGTCAAAAAATAATTTTTTGACATTTTTCCGAAAATTGAAAATTTTATAAGGGTTACATCATTAAATTTGCCAAAATTTGACAAAAATTGAATTTTTTAAATTTGAAAACTGAGTATGCAGCTTTGTTAATCTACTAAAAATTAGCATAGAACACCTTTCCGAATTAAAA